CTTGGCCTTGACCATCCCATCCTTTTCGTCACAGCCAGGATGCAGGGTGCTCTTGCAGGGAATTTGCACGGTACCACTTGCCAATAGGTTACATACAAACGAAAACCGCGATTCGGGGAGTTGAAAGGTTTACACAGGCACGACATATGTTTCTGACTCTTGTAGGCCGCACACGGCTTTATCAAAGGAGAATATAGCTCCCTATAGGGATGGGATAACGCCACACCAGTGACGGCCTCTTTTTCTTCACGATGAAGACGATTTTCTCATCTCGTACTCTGAGACAAAGCAAAATACGAGTCGCGACGGCCATCTATACATGTCGTAAGAAACTATCAAGTGAGGATCTTGGCAACTCGGTAGCCCCGCGCTTTTTCTTCTTCAGAAGAAACAGGTACTGCGACTTAAAAGTCCGCCATCACATCACCAGAGGCTCGGAACTTGTAGCCAGTTACAGCGCGGCAGGCGAAAATTCGCTGCACCCTCTGACTCTCGGCTTTCACCAGATTGAATTTCCAGGAAAGGGTGCGGGGTGTATACAAGAAAGAGAGAGGAGAGAGAGGTAGATGCGAATGAGGGGTCTAGTCGATCACCAGATTATCCGCTCGAGATCAACATACCGGCTGGCCGGTTGAAGGTCACGTCATGCTCTGCGGCATCTCAGTAAAGCAGGGAAATAGGGAACTAGCAGATTTAGCCATCGGATCCGAGGCGGCGAGTATAATCTTGGGCAAGGTCACGAGTCGTGAAGACGCCAGATTGTTTCTCATCCTTATCCGCTCTCGCTGTCTCTTCCCCTTCTCTCTCTCTCTCTCTCCCTCTCCACTTACATACTATGGAGCCGTTAAGCGCCCCTGTACACCTTCTGAGCGAGATCCGGCAGGAAGGAGGAGAGTTTCGTGTAAACAGCTCCATACGGCCGACCGATAATGCTTTGCATAGGACATGCATCGCAGCCAGTGGGGCCAGCCCGCAAATGTCGATTTTCTAGAGAGGCACCCGTGCAGAACCGCCATTGATAAAGTACGGGCGAAATCCAATTATTTTTATTTCCCTAGTGGCTCTGGACGCCAAGGGGTGCGGCTCCAAGTAGTCAAACTAAGCCTTCTCCTCGAGATGGCGACGTGCAGGGTCGAAACCCTCCAACAGGGTTATCAACCATGCATCGAGTTCCAAGGAGACACGACCGCTTGCTAGGCGGTAACTTTCCTATATATTGAAAGCAGCAAGTTCCAAGTCTGAAGTGAAGAGGAACCAGAGGCAAAAAGTGTCATTTGGAATAGCTCAAAGTGCCTCAAGGTCAAGCTAAGCAAGGACACCTGTGTGGCGGCCAACACCGATCCCGTCCAAATCTCTCGCAAGCCTCGTTGGATCCTTTCAATGAAAAGTAACTCGCGGCACGGTGCAGAGCTTTCTCGATGGAGAGGTGAAGAGTCGGTTTATCAGAGATGGCACCACCTCTTCTCACGTCCCCCTCGGGTTTCCCTCGTAATCCTCTAACCAAACAAGGAACGAGAAAAGCAAGGCGAATAGTGCACCGCAGAAGAGGTCAGTCAAGTCTTGTTCCGCTTTCTATCTAGCATGTCCTCCAAGGGCACTAGGCTCAATGGGTTTCTTTTCCTCCCGTTTCTTATCACCGACCCTTGGGCTTCGCTCAAGTGTAGGGTGGGGTCGGTAAACAACGGACAGCGACGTGCGCAGTTGCTTCCTGTCACATCTCGCTTCCCAAATAAGGGCGCTTGTCACCTCGATGACGAGATCATTACTCCCAGCACCCTATCTGCACATAATACTACTTGGAGAAACTGACAGCGTACACGTGGGATCCTTTTGCGAGTCAACATACCCGTCCTACCATTGCCAATTGCCATTTGTCTTACACCAGCCCACAACCTCTAGTATATGTGCATGACCTCCCACCCATTGTTGTAGGTATCTTGTTCCGCACGAAACAATATCAGAAAGTTTCCGTCCACGTCGCCACTTATTTTCCGTCTGTTGGGCCGCAAGGGGCGGGGAACCCCTTTGTGCACGTCGCAGCCTCACCCCCTTCTCTCTCTGCTGCGGAGCATAGGAGGGAACGGCATGTGGAAGGAGGGGTCCTGATGAAAATGAATGGCTTGAATATCAGCTGATGGGCCTTCCTTGATTATGGGGCTGTTGACCTGATGCTGAGAAAATGCAAACCTGTTCGCGCTGTCATATGGGTTGGAAGAACACGCCTGTCGAGTAGCCGAGCTGTTGTTCGTTTGATCCATCCACCATCTACACTAGATGAATCAATAGCTTTGGGTGACTGACCCCTGTCTAGTGTCGTCCACCCACGGTGCTGTCAGACTTGGCAGGCACGGCCCACAGCCCTTTTTTTTTTTTTCCCCGCGCAGAGGCTACCCCAAGCCCACAATTCACCGGTCCCACACCGGTCAAGTTGTTAACCCCCTGTGGCCAACCATAACCCTGAGAACCTTGCCAATTCGGACAAAAAGGCAAATGAGATCTGAGAAACGAGCTCCGAAAAAGAAAAGAAGAAAGGAAACCAAGTGGAAAGTTAAACTTCTCCAGGGAAGGGGCGACCCGACAGTCTGGAGCAGGATTCTCTACCCTGGTTTTTCTTTTTCTTGCCCCTTCGTTCTGTCCCTCATCTTCCTTGTCATGTTTCACGTTGCGCACCCTCCAACACCAAACGACGTATGAGTATTATTAGTTGGTGTGCCGACAGGCAGGGGCGAGTGTCATAAGGCCGCGTAGATTAGCCATTACTTTTCAAGTCATTTTGCTAATTATTGATCATTGATCTATCCATCCATGGATATTTGCTAGGAGTCAGATGTGGATTGCTAAAATTCTGCCTCGCTTCGCCACTCGACGCATTTCCTCCTCGCCATAGCTTCCAATCCTCTCTCGCTACAGAAGACATCTCTTATTGGGGCAGACTACTATCGAAACTTCAACAGAGTTACCTTCTCAGCGACTAGGATGGGTACTTTTTCCTAGTGCAGAGTTGAGTTTTCATGCAAAAGGAGGCGACTAGCTAAAGGAAGAGACAGAGAGAGAACGAGAGAGAGAGTGTGTGTGTGTACACACTTTGCATCGTGCGAGTTCAAGATGCGGTGAGCAACAGGTGCCTCTCCTCGCTATGTTCCTAGCATCACTAAGGCGGACTTGTGTGCTGTTCCGCTCGGCTTCCTTTCTCCTCTCCTTTAGTCTTTCTTGGGGCACGTCAAGGCGTACCCTACCTACGACAGACAGCCGGGCGTGAAGCTGCGATCGTCGGTCTCTATGGATTGCGTGGATTGTAGCAACGGGACGCCTCGCTCCAATTGCTTTTTTCCCTAGCTATCATCCCCCATTTTCTCTTACTGCCCAGCAGAAAGTGACTGATCGCTATCTTATCCTGCACCGTCGCTCAGCTCCTTTCCTCTTTCTAGGAGCGGATACCGGGTGGCTCTGTCCATGACGTCCTTCATTGTGAGATGCCATCGGTGGTTCCCTGCGAGTGGTGGCGTGAACCCGCCCCTTTCTTCATTTTCTCCACGACTGAAGCCAGAAGATCGCGACACGCGTCAGCGAGATCAACTTGAGCCACCCTTGGCAATGCCAGATTGAGATCGTTGGCAAAACATCTCGGCCTTGACGTAGGCTGAGCTCTTCCTCTTCCACCGTCAGATTCGCCGATGTGTCGACGTGGCAGCATGTCCATGCAGAGAGAAATGCTAGGAATACCAAGCCAGCGCCGGGTATAAACGCACCCGTCTGCAGCCACGAGGCGGCTCCTAACGGCGACGATCATGTCCCTTTTTGGGAAAGGGACGGTAGTGGAAGGTATAAACGGTTACTGGTGTACTCCTTTGGGACCTCACCACCCTCCCGTGAGGGTAGCACATGGCCCAGCCCTAATGGCGAGTCTTGCAGAGTCAAGGGCTATTTCTAGCGTGACGTTGGTTTCCCGGAACAACCCAGATTGGCTCTATACTCTGCTCCAGAGTAGTGTGTCTAGGGCCGGCCTCTTACGTCTCGCGGCGTAGCCTGCCATCTTGATAGAGTGCATCTTGAAGGCGTCCTCGCTTGACGGCCCACCGTTCTTCGCGCCCCTCCCATCTTGGACATCTATCTTGCATTTGATGATTCATGCGCACTCGAGAGAGGCCGAACTTGGCGAGTCATCGGAAGCAAACCCCATAGATGCACGATGATACTTATCTGCAGCTCTAATCGCAGGTCTGGCCTGTATTTGGTGGCATTTCAGCCTCAAAAGCAAGGTGTGGAAGGCGCGGGGGAGTGGAAAGGGTGATGGAAATGGAGCTACTTTGATACCTGCTCACCGCCTCGTCTTAAACAGCAACGGAGAACGTGGGGGCGTGAGGCTTGCCAGTTTGCTTTTCCAGCGAGGAATTGGGGGAGGGGGCAGTCCTGATAACGTGCGCCGATAATCCAAATGTTGCTGTGGACTCGCAACGTGCGCTCACGAGATTCCCGCTTTACCGTTGTTGGCCGTAGCTTTGGGCTCGTTTTGGTTCGAGAGGGGTCCGGACAGAAATGTTTCACCAAATATCGAAATCTCTGAAGACCGACATCCGTAGTGGAACCTCGGGGAGGCGGAAGTTTCCTGTGTGACATGGAGGGAGGGATGGAGGGGAACGGAGTATGCGTGTGATCCCTTTGCTTAGACAGACATACAAGATTGAAAAACAGGGTGCAGGTTGAGAGGAACAGATTGAGCCACCACTTCGGACCGACACTGTTCGAGGCAAGCCTTACAACTGAAAGCGATTGTATTTTACGTCGTCGCGCTGCACGACTTCGTACATGCTGAAAGGGGGTTAGCCCAAGGAGGGCACCGCCTGGAGCCATTAGTCTAGGGCGATGGATGCTATGTGTGAGCTAAAGTTTCCTTCTCCCAATCTCCTCTATTTCCTTTTTCTTCTTCTGCATTTCCTTCACCCATCACGGCCTTGGCTCCTATGAGAGAGAACCGAAACTCCGCGGATACTGCCCACGGGATGCCTCGGAGGAACTGCCGGGTCAAGCCTGCGGGTTTGAATATTGCCGGGCCCGACACGTCGCTGTCATGTCATGCCGGCGCCCATGTCATCCATGGTAGGACAGCGGACGGAAGTGCCTTGACCAACCGCCCAGAAGTTCACCACCTCATAGACGGCGAAGAAGAAGAATATCGGCCCACTTTGGGATGGATGAGGGTGTAGAGCTATGCTTGATACATATCGATTTGAGTTGGTGGCTCCAGAAGAATCTTGGGGCTGTCGAGGGTTACAGCTGCCGCTGTGTGTCCAAAGATGCATCGACTCGAGATCGAAAGCTTGCACACGATCGACTTTCTTTTCCCACTCTTTCCCTCCTTCACTCCATCTTGACCTTCATTTTGTTGGTTTGTAGTAGCACGGATGTCTTTCAGCATGGCTACCCAATGTCTACGGTGACCCTGTGCGATCTATAATTGAGAACCCCATGTTGCGTCACGTTGGTGTCGGGGATTTCCATCCGCAAAGACCCTTTCTTTCAATCTTTCCCTTTGGGAAAGTCGGACAAGCCCAACTGTGAGGCTTGGGCTGCGATGCGGAGCGGAAGTCGAAGGCGGACAAACAAATTGTTTCGTGTGCATACGTGCATAGGCTGATGCGTAAGACTGCCGAAGGGGTCCTTCAAGCGCAGCTTCTCATTGTTTCGACTCGCGCGAGTGACTACATGTAGTTTCAATCTTGAAAATCTTTTGATTCTCTCGCCAATCTTGACCGCTGATCGACACTCGCTGGTATTGATGTCTACGAGTGTAAAAATGACAATGCTCGCCCTTGGCGAGGACGGGATAGCTTCCACAAAGCCTTCATTCCACCCCTCCCTCCCTTGTCTCCTTTTTTTTTTTTTTTTCTTCCTTTTCCCAATTGTGACATGTGAAAGAACCCACCGCAAAGAAGAAGAAACACCAAAAAGGAAAAAAGTCTGGGTTGTCAACATGTGGGAAAACGTGCGCGATCAAGCACCAGGAACGCGCATGCAGGAGACCGCCCGGTAGTAGTGCAGCCGGGGAAGAGAGACAGGGATGAAAGCTCCAAGAAAGCTCTTGCGATGGGGCGGAGGAGCGCGTGGGAGGGAGGGATGTGAGTGGTGCGCGAGGAGCAAAACTAAAGAGCGGCGGGCGGATGATGGGATGAAGGATCGACACTTTTTTGTTTGCGTGCATCTTTTCTTCTCCGTTGTTTTACTTTTTGACGGACCATCTAAGCTCAAACAAAATGTCTTTGCTCTACATGTAGGCGGAGGCCGGTTAGTGTGGAGATGATGGAAGCGACAAACGAGGAGATCAGAACAAAGAAGAAATAGGAATAATTGAAACAAAAGAAGGAAAGAAAAAGGCGATGCTGTCTTCTGCATGGCAAGCAAAGATTCGGCTAGATTGGAAGCATATCCTGGCTTTTCTTTTTCTTCCTCTGCCTTTGATTTAGCTCTCCTTTCCTTGCCTCCCGGACCTTGCTTTTCGTCCTGGGCAAAGTCTAGGCCCTGTGCTTGAAACGCCTGACGAGCTTGCATCCATGAAATACCACGAGGAGATGGGAAAGGGCCCTAAAACATGAAAATTGGACATGATGGGTGTAAGACCAATGCCGCTCTTCTGCGCCTCTAGCTTACCTGCAGCATCGCAGACGTGTTGAAAAGGGGAAAAGAAAAGGTCCCGGCGATCTCTTGGCCGCTATTACGTCTTTGGCACGAGTCTTTCTGCAAGCTAAATCAACTGTGCAGCGTTTTTTGCTTCTTTATTTCTTCCAAGAGAGAGAGGGGCGGAGGGAAAGGCTCCTCGATGCTTTGCTTTCAGCCGGACTCCCCACGCCGCGCTATCGGAGAGGATTCTCCCCTCTCCGCTCCTGACCTTGCCCGATGATGCCGTGATCGCCGCTTCTTTTCGGTCCACGCCCCTGCCAAATGAAGCGTAGCCACGGAGGATAGGGTCGGGACCGGAGAGAAGAGATGATCCTTGAAAAAAAAAACGATGTGCCTGATGCATCAGAATCTAGATGAGTAGGACGAATGCAAGGCAGCCTTGGCCGAAACTAGGTCTGTCACATTTTGTCGACGTGGAAAAGCAGGTGGTGCCATGAGTGTTATGTTATGGAAGCGGGAAAAGAGTCTTGTCACTTTTTTACTGCATTTTGCCTCTTTACTCCTGCGTGGGTGAGGATCGCCGATAGGCAAGAGAAGAAGGCAAAGAAAGAAAAAGAACAACAACACCGCAAGGGACGGGAGAAAAGAAGAAGGGGAATTGGGTCGGAATGTGCAATGCAGAGTGACGGAATCGCAGGGCGATCGTTGTGAGAGGGTGTTGTAGAATAGTGTTGGGTGGAATTGATGGGTTAGGGGGCACCGTTGAGGCCTGGATCCTGTCAAGCCTGTGAAGAATCTTGCCTCGGTGCCCCGGGCGAGGGAGCGAGGTGAGTAAGGACAGGGAAGGGGTGTTGCCATTGGAGACTAGGGAGAAAAGGAGGGTGCGGTTAGACAAGTTATCAAGTGGTTCTTTTCTTTTTTCTTCTTGTTTTTCCTTGACTTCTTTGGGCACGGCGGGATCAGGATGGGGATCGGCGAAGGGCTTCGGAGGCGGCGCACGATAGGCGAGCGGGATGGCTGGCCGTGGCGCGAAGAGAGGAGTCCTGGGTCCTTTGTGCGGGCTGTAAAAGGGAGTGGGAAGCGGAAGGCGGGAAGTGAGTGATGATGAAGGTGATGCCTTTTGCAGAGGGTGTGGCCACTTTGTGTCAGCGGATGAGAGGGTGAGAGGGTATCCCCGACGGCGGCCTTGTCTGACCGGGGGTGGGGGGACAGTTGGGAGAGGAAAAGAAAACAAGGACCCAATAAGGGATACGGAGAGTAAGCCTTTGCTAGCCGGGGGTGAGGGTGTCGAGGAATAAGCCGAAACTGCGATTTGGAAGCGACGTGGACGAAAGAGTTGCGCTTTGATAGACACGGAGACATGGGAGTCTTCAAATTGCATCGAGGCTATGGATGGTGAGGTGAGGCGCGGCTTGCCAATCTCTGAGGCTCTGGACTAAGGGATCATTGGGAGTATAGATGAGGGATCAACGATTGGTGGAACGATTCTGTTTCTAGCGTGGCGCGGGCCGGCCATTTCTTCCTCGCACGACAGTTTGATATCCCATGATGGTGTCGAAGAAAAGGGCGGCAACACAAACTCTGAAGCTAAAGGCTTATCGACTCGGCCAAAGTTCGATTCGGAATTTCTTGTCTAAGCCTCGTTGTTTTCTTAAACTTTCCGATCTTCTGCAAGACTATAATCACCCGAGCTATACAACCCGGCCGGTGTCTTAGATGTAGACCCTCTGTATCACTTGAGAGAGATATTACCCTTGGTTCCGCGCCGCGCATGGCTTGTGACTTTGTGTTTTGTAGCACCCGAGGGAGTGGCCGTTCCGTTGGATGGCTGATGAATGCTGGCCAACAGAGCTCGGAGACCAAGCGACGGCTGCCTCTGCGTATGTGAATTGTATCTGTGTGGTTAGGTAGGTTCAACTTTCGATGATAAGTCTGTTGATGGCTTTTCTATATGGCGGAACATTTGGGAAGTTCAAGATGGGAGGATAATATGTTTCCAGTGCCTAGATATGGTGTGGCTTCCCGGATAACTCGAGAATCTGTTCTCTTTCCAGGTAGCTCAGCAACAAACTCGTAAACAGAAGAGACTACAGCGAGAGGGCATCGGAACGCAATGAATCGCTTCCTTTAGGCGGTTAGCATCCAACCGTTGATGTGTACAATGTCATACAAGATACACGCTTGACAGTCCTCTGAGGAAATCAAGCCGTTCAAAGCATGGTTACTACTTCGCTTATGGGAGAAGAAGATGGCCTGGCACACGAAGCAACTGATATTGATCAGAGATCATGGGGCATGAAGCACTACGCTCTCGTTAGACAAGTACGAATAGGCACAAGAGACAAGGAGATGGTTTGCAAGATGAATTCAGTCTGAAAGAAGGAGAAATACACGAAGAAGCACTAACTTGGGAACTATGGCGGAGACTTGTGTGATATGACATCGAGGGAGAGGTGCTAAAAGGGCGGAACCGCGAGAGCAACGGATCCGTTCTTGTCTATACGCCCATTTGCACGCTCCCTTCGGAAGCCGCCAACTGGGAACTCCGCCATTGACAGAACTCTGACAAGGGGCCTCATACACGAGGAAGAACGAGAATCAACGAGAAAAGACAAACGGAGAAGAAACAGCAAGGAAGCCGGGAAGACGGGCAGACAACACATGAGTGTATGTGTAGAGGCATCAATCCCCGGCAATTGCAGGGGAAGAAGATGGCATCCCAGCTCCCGGATGCTTCTTGAAAAAGGAAATCAGCCAACAGTCTATAGAACAACTATTGCCTATAGACCGGTGCGTCAAACAAAACATTTGGGGGAAAAACGACTTGGTGCAATTCTGGGAAAGGGTAAGGAAAACAGACGTAGTGGGACTGAAAAGAATTGGGCAGTGCAATTGAGAAACGAACGTGTACTGTTCCTCATAAGAGAACAAGGGGGAAAAACGATTGTGGAGCGCATTAGTCCTTGCGCTTCTAGAACTTTGAGCGGAAACTTTCGTGATGGCGCCCTTGTGAAGTTGAATGAGGGGATCAAATGTTAGCCTTCTTGGCAGGCTCAGCGTTTGGAACTTTCTTGATCGAGGAAGCTGTGGCTCGGCTAGCAGGCGCGAGCGTCTGCATTTCAATAGCAACAGGAGCTGACTTGAGGCGAACGCCATCCTGCTCAGAGGAATTTTCAGTCGCAGTGGGAGAGTGGCGGAAGCGAAAGGAGAGCACATTGCGAAGGCTGCTCTTCTTTGGCAGCGAGCCGCGATCGTCCTGGGTCATGGGCGCGGGCTTCTTGCTCTCAATGTTCGCCCCGGAAGCCTTGAACTTGGCATCGGCTTCGGCAATGTGGCCGGAAGGCGACTTTGAGTGCTTGTCTGTGGAAATCATCTGCTCTGAGGATGATGCATCGTCACTGGCGACCTCAGGCGTGGTAGCTCTTCTTTTAGGCGCAACTCGAAGGGCATCAGAAGGGTCCAAGAACTGATTCTTCCGCGACTCGACTCCCTCGGCCGCCCGCTCCGCCTTCTTCCTCTGCTTAATCTCCGTCTTCTTCGCGCGCCTATTGTACCGCTTAGTCGGGTGGTTCTTGTTCCGCTTCTTGGCTTGCGCGGGGCCGTCCGCGCCCGACATGTCCTTGATGGACCGGATGTCGTTGCCGTCCTCAGAGGGCGCGGTCAGGGTAATCTTTGCACGCTGTGCTTGGTAGACGGCAGGACAATGGTGTTGTCGATCGACTCGTTGTCGCCCTCGCTTTCGCTCTTCGATGTCAAGGAAGGTGTGGCTGGGCCGACGCTGTGTTCGCTCGCGAGCATATTGAATCGAGAGATCTCGTCGGGACCGGGCGTGGAGAAGGCTCTGACGCCTTGGTCGATGTAGGGGATCACTTGCGTCTCGGGCTCCTCGGCCGAGCATGAGCGAACGACTCGGTCGTTGGGGTCTTTGTGGCGGGGGTTCGGTACTGGACGGCAGGACCTGGCTCGCCCGCCAAAGTTTCATCGTCCGACGAAGGATCCTCGTCCTTGGAAGGAGAAATGTTAGTTGAATAGTCCACAGTTCTTGAAAAGGTCTGTACCATCGAAACCCTCAACGAAAAGAGAGGACACAGGCACTAAAAGGGAACATGTACTTACGGTACCGCCGCAAAAGCAACACATGAACCGCAGGCCCGACGGGCGACGGATGGACGAAAAGAGGCTTCCCCCTTGGGCCTCTCGGAAGGCATCTTCCCCGCAAAGGGGAACGGTTTACTCAGTTTATTAGGTCCCAGGGATACGGGAGTAGTCGGCCGGCTATCCTATGGCGACGGCGGGCGACTGTCTCCGTTATCCGCGACGATGGAATCTGTGCGTCGTTCAAGCATCTTGGTGTGCCAGTCGTCGGCCCATCCGGGGCCTGACTCCTGTGGATCTTGCGGGAGCCTAAAAGACGGCATGTCCGGGTAGTCTCGATGGGCGAACGCGAGGCGGCATCGCTGGTGGTTTGGCTGCTGCCCGGAGCCCACTTGCCCCTGCTGCTGGTCGTGCCCAGCCATGGGCCCGGTGAGGGGGCCAAATCTGCCCGTGAGTCGGATGAATCAAAGTCCCATGAATGGGATCGTAGGGGTCCCGTCCCCTCGCAGGGTACCAGTTGAGAGCGCCGCCGTAGCCGGGAGGAACATAATGACCCGGAGGCGCAGGACCGTACCAAACCGGAGCAGGAGGTGGGTTCGGCATCTCAGGCGGCAGCAAGCGAGGATCGGGCCTCAGATGAGGGGGCAAGGGCTCGGGGGCATAGTGAACTGGGGCATGCACGTAGGGGCCAAACCTTCAAGCACGTCCCAGTGCGTGGCCGGGCCGCGAGACCTATCAATTCTGTCGTTGGCGTGCAGGTTACGGATCTCCTCAAAGCCCCAGGGCTGTTCGGGGACATATCCCGTGTCAAAGTGTCGTTCAAAAGTATTCCACACGGGCTGCGGCCACCCGTGGAACCTGGTGATATTGCAATGTTCGCTCATCCACTCGTCGACACCGGCCTGGCCAGCTCCAGGCGCCACCCACATCTCGCTAACGGAGTGAACTGGAAACTTGGGGGAGTGTCGACCCATAATGGTAGGGCCGTCGCGTTCTTCAATGTCTCCGGGATGCATGGGTCCCATGGACGACGTGGATTCGGCGTCTTCGCCGTACCAGTAGGGCTCCACCGTCGTGGGATGGCTCAGATAGAGCTCGTACCGCCCCGGGTGCTGCAGGGGAGGTGGCTGGCTGTTCTCGCCATGCTGCTGGCCTTCGTAGACTGGCGGAAGCAAAAGGTAAATTATGGGACGACGCTCCTTCTCGGAACCCGTGTCTTCTTTCCCATCAGAATGGTCCGAGGAGGCCTTGGAGGAGTACCCTGCTGCATTCTCGGGACTTCCTAGCCATGCCTGAGGATGGCTCGAGGGGTCGACGAGATACTGATGGACCTCCTCAGGGAATACGGGCCGTAGTATACGCCTTCGATGTGCCGGGGAGGCATACGAGGTGCCCCGCCACTCATTTTGTGTTTCCGGCAGCAGAGGCTCGAACCTAAGTGCTGCTGTAGGTGTTGTTGTACGTGTTTGCTAAACAAGGCGTTAGCATCTTGCTCGCGTCTACCAATCTTTTAAGGAGAGGAAATATCAACAAACCTACTAATTGAAGCCAAGGCAAGGCAATTGGAGCCCAGCGTTTGAAGAGGCAAGGATGGAAATCCCAAAGAAAAATTGCTTTGCCGATAGGAGAGCGATCAGGGATCACGGTTTCGGAAACGCTCGCTTTTAGCTGGAATGGCAACGAAGCAGAGGAAACGTTTCGACCGGCAAGCAAGCTCAAAGTCAGACTTGATCTAGCCGAGGATGGTCAAGATACAAAGCTGATGCAAAAGAATCTGTGCTTATGCCAGTGGGTATGGCAAAGAGTAAAGTGAAAAAAGGGAGGAAAAGATGACACTGGATCAGTGTCAAAGGAGGAAGAAGGGCTGTGTTTTGGGGAAAATGTGGGAAAAGAAAGGAATAGTGAAAATTGTGATTATTATGGCTTTTCCAATTCATCACTTCATTCCTTCCTCTCTATGGAAACACAGGAATAGCCAGGGTGAAAAGGAGGGGCGAGGTGAGGTTTTGCGCTCTCCAGCTTCATGATGTCCGGCGCCTCCGATGGGCCCGGCGTGAAGTGGGGCCGGGTGATGACCCACTCCGGGCGGAGGTCTGGTTTCAGGAACACTAAATTTCACATCTTAGAAGAAAGAAAATGGAAAAAAAACACAAAGACCAGCTAGTAGATCATGTTAATATTTTGAAAAGAAATTGCAATTTTTATTCTAAAAGAAATGGTATAGTAAAGCAAAACTCCAAGGCTAGTAGTCAGAATGCTATGCAGGTACAGGTATGATAAGAAAAGATGATGGCCCCGAAAAGCTACATGTAGCCTTCATGAAATTTTCAAAGCAATGGCATAGCAAAGAGGAGGGGTGAAAAAGCAGTTGTGCAATGTGCAATCATCATCATGACATCCAAAGGACTCTCTCCCTCCATTCTTTCCTTAGTAAACTTTTCTCCCCTCTCTCCCAAGTCTATGCCTTGTTCTCCTTTTTAACACTTCGATCCCTCCACCGCCCGCGGACGGCCTTCAAAAGCAGCCACGCCAAAAGTCGGTACGCGACGATGCATCCAGCTAACGCCGCTACGTTGACGACAGGATCGACATTGAGCTTGTAAAGGTCCAGCACGTCCTCTCCCGTCTCAATGATGCACCGCCCGTTTAGGCTGTGCGCCTCGTCGCACGTAAAATCGACGCCTCGTAGCGAGTAAGGTGCGAGAGCGCGCGTGGCGTAGCGGATGGGGGACAGGTAGTTCATGGCGTTGAGAAGGGGCGGCATCTTGGTCGACAGGATGCCCGCCATGGAGTTGGCTATCGAGAGGACGACCGAGGTAAGGGTGACAGCGAAGCCCGTGTGCGACGCAAAGATTGTGTTGAACATGATACCAAGACTTTCGCCACAGGAGACGATCCCGAAGCACGCAAACGTCGCCACAAAGTACATCTCCACCGTCCGTGGAAGGCCGACGGCAAAGTCTGCCAACACACCAAATACGAGGCAGCTGACAACCTCGAACGGCACCTCCAATAGAGTGTACTGCACCAAGAACGCGTCAACTCCGTACACGCCGTCGTCGTCCTCGCGATAAAACACATCTCGCTCCGCCGGGTAGACGGCAACGTTCTGCAGCATCCCTACAAAATAGAACGCGCCAACTTCCTGCACGAAGCCCATCCGGTTCTGCACTGAGTAAAAGTCGTTATCGACCGGAGCAAAGAAGAGGGTAAAGACCACGCCGAGCGCGATAACCTGCATTGTTCGTGCCAAGAGAAGGTCGGGTTGGCGGCGGAAGTTGATGGTCGCCCGATGGAGCAGTAGCGGCAGTGCTCTCAGGAACGAGGCGCGTCTGGTCACAAGCGCTCCAAGCTCGGCCGGTGTCGCAAGCGTAGCTTTGTGAAGAGAGCGGCGAGGAATCGACGACACCGTTCGTGTCAGCGCAATGCCGTTTTCGTTGTCGCCGTGCACCGTGTTGTCCCCCTGTGATAGCCGGCGTGGGTGTCGGTGCAGGTGCAGGTGTCTTCGCATCGTGGGTTTTCTCAGAGATGCTTCCGCTCGTTGTATGCTGCGACCCAGCACTTCCATCTTTCTCTTCCTTTTGAACATCTGCGGCCTCCTCTTTCTCGGCAATATTGGGTAGCTTCACTGGGTGTTCTGTCGTCTCCTCGGACCCATCGCATAGCGCGACGTTTCGTTTCCAGGCCTCGATGAGCTTCCGAACCTTTTCCCGGCTTTCCCGCTCCCGTTCTTCCTCCCTCAAGTCGACGCTGATGAGATCCATCACGAAATCAGCCGGGTTTGTGTGCTTGGGACACTCATGCCCATGACCCCTAAAGTATTCCAGCATCTCCGTCGCCCTCCCCGTATACACACACTCGCCGCCCCGGGCCAGCAGTAAAACGTTACCAAAATGTTTGAATAGGTCGCTTCGAGCTTGATGAATCGTCAGGATAAGCGTCCGGCCCTCGGCTGCGAGGCCTTGCAAAACCTCCATAATGGAATTGGCGGTGAAGGCATCAAGCCCTGAGGTGGGCTCATCAAGGAGTAGAATGCGGGGGTCAGTGAGTACCTGCACCGCAATCGACACGCGACGCTTTTCTCCTCCCGAGATGCCCTTGATCAGATCGCTTCCTACCAAGTTATCTGCGCAGTCTTTCAAGCCCATCTTCAAAAGAACTTCTTCTGCGCGGCGCCTCTTTTCTTCCTTGCTCATCCAAGACGGGAGACGGAGACCGGCGGCGAAGTAAAGCGTCTCCCGCACCGTCAGTGACGGTAGTAGGGCGTCATCATCCTGACACACGTACGAGCAAACGGACCGGATCACAGCCCGTGATGGGACCGCGGAGTTGAACGTAAGCTTTCCGCGGGGCAAGTACTTGGTTCCCACGGTATTATGCAGTCTCGTCGCCATGCAGTTCAAAAGTGACGTCTTTCCACTTCCCGAGGGGCCCATGATCACATTGAGCGTCCCAGCTTGGAAGGTTGCCGTCACCGGGTTAAGTATCGTCTTCTGCGGCAATTTCCGACCGTATGCGTTTCGCTTTTCGAGGTCAAGGGCAAAGTCGTCGAGTCCTACATCGATGCTACGAACCTCGGCAACAGATCTCGCTGTCATCTTCTCCTTTCCGGCCGATAGATCCGTGTCAGATGTCCTGGCTCGCGCAATCGTCATTTCAACCTTGAGGAAGTACAGAAGAAAAGCGGACAGGAGAAGGAGCGCGACGACAAAGGCGACAAGAATGAGGATTGGCCGCGATACCCAGTTCTCGGGGAAGCCGAGGGACTCCATGACATATTCGCCGGTATATGACAAACAGGAAGGGTCATCCCGCCCCCTGGGAATGGGCAGTCGTAAAAATTGCCCTCGAACTCGTTCCCGCAGTATGCGCCAAAGACATAGAACTAAAGAATCATCACGCTTATTAGCTGACTGAAATATCCAATAATACTGGATCCTAAAACAACTACTTACCGTATATGTGATCCATTTGAGCCAGCGAACATAGACGGGAATAGTGTTGCTCTGAATAAACATTCCGCATGCCATACTCTGCAGCGTATAGACTAGGTTGGCAATCAAGCTGGCTCCGGGAAATGTCGCACCGCAGCCACGCAGGTGACGGCGCACGTCATGGCAACATAGTGGTTCAGCAGGGTAATGGCAAAGAAAATGAAAAACTTTTCAGCGTCCCTCTCGAAGCCCGCCATAAAATAGAATATGACACTGAATAAAAACGGAACGGGGAAATCTTCCGTGAATAGCCTCGCAAATCGGCGCGACAATACAAAGGGAATCACGTCGACGCATCCCTCGCTGTGCTCTCGGTCAAAAGTTAGGATATCGATAGTGAGTCGGTAGACTTCGAACATGAGCATGAGGTAGCCTTGAAGACCGGCAGCCGTATACAGAGCGCCCTGTCGGGATCGGATACCGGATTGATCACGGCCGATATTGTAGAAGATGTAGCCGGTGACGAGGCCCATGAGGATGGCCTCCACGGTGGCTGCAAGCATGCCTAGGGGATCGCGGTGAGTGACCTTGAACGTGCGGTCAGTCAAGACGGTGAGCTGTCTCAAAAACGTTGCGTGCTGTCTCCCCTTTCTCGAAAATAGCTGTTTGTGGTTCGCGGTGTCGGCTCCAGCCTTGGGCGCTGCGGGATACCTCGAGCGGGTTTCCTCCACCCACGCCTCTTTAAGTCGAGAGATTCTCGCCATGCTCTCAGCCTCGAGCTCCGGCGTTCGATTATCGGCGGCGGCGATATCGATAAAGTACTCGGCCGGGTTGACAAATGGGGGAGCTTGAACCCCTGACTCTCGAACCAAGGTGCGCACCCCTTCATCGGTCCGGAGTAGACAGGGCTGCCTTTGGTGAGAACAATTAGATTATCGAAAAGATCCCAGATTTCAGACCTCGGTTGGTGAATGGTGGTGATGATAGTTCTGCCCTTTTGTGCAAGGGATTTCAAGGTTTTGACAAGCTGAAAGGCACTAGTGGCATCAAGGCCCGTGGTGGGTTCGTCAAGAAACAAGACGGATGGGTTCGCCAAAAGTTGCACGCCGATACTCGTTCTTCTCTTCTCTCCACCGGAGGCGCCCTTGTGCTGGGTGCTTCCCACCCGCGTGTCGGCGCACTCTTTCAAACCAAGCTCCAATATCACCTCTTCCACGACCTTCTTTCTTTCCTCGGCCGTAGTGGAGGACGGTAACCTCAAGTCAGCCGAATAGCGCAAGGTCTCCCTCACAGTCAGCGTCGGCAACAGGACATCCTGCTGCATAACATAGGCATGCCTGGTCGAGTGAACGCCCCGAGCACCATTGAAAGTAGCCTCTCCCGTCTCCGTCAACCTGGGGCTAGACATTCTTTCCGCCAAAGTGTTCAGCAAAGTTGTCTTACCCGACCCGCTCCCGCCAATGATGGCGGTTAGCGTGCCCGGGGCCAGTGAAGCGCTCACATCGCGGAGCAGGGTCTTTTCGCTCGGCGTTTTGGCGCCGAAAAGCGGCGTTCCTTGAAAAGCTGGGGGTAGGTGGAGGGCTCGAGCCAGGAAGGGGACGTATCCACTACCACGGACAGGTCCCGGATCTGAATGTCGACGGCTTGCACATCGTCGAGGGAGAGAGGAACAGCACCCGAAGTCGATGGCCGAGGGTGCGGCGGCTGGAGCTGCGTTCTCCATGGAGGTGGCGATGGAGCTAGCACGGTCAATCTTATCGGCTTCCAACCCCGAGTAATGGCTCAAGGGCCTGGCGCCCTCAGTGGGCTTCTGTGTTTCCATTCCCGTGCTGACTGGAACGGGATCCTGAGAAGATGAGTGACACGATACGTTAGGTGGTACAGATCTAGGAACAGGGCGCCATGATGAGACACGGCAGACGAATTCAGACGGAGAGCATCAACAAAGTTAAGTGGTTGAGTGAGGTGATGCGGCAGGCGTCGAGAAGAATTCGGGAGGGGACTGGTAGACTAAAAGGATATGTGCGTCCCGCAGTCGGCGACTCAGTGTGTTGCTGATCCTACAATGCTCCACTCATCTCATCTCGCCAGCGAGGTTTTCCCAAAGCCTGTGGTTCTAAGGTCGGTTCTTGAACAACTAACGAAAATCCTAGAGTGACAGGATTGCAAAGGGGAGGGTGGCAGGCAGCGGGTTACAGTGAAGTGTGTAGGGAACGAAGGATTAAAGGCCGTTCCCCAAGATCGAATGGAATCCGAGGATGGAGGTCAGATCGGAAGGCAAGACGGAGATGAACAATAATAAGAAGAGGCAGAAACGTGGTCGCCGTTGCTAACAAGGAGTTTATGATCTACGGGCACTTCACCCTCGGTACCGATCTTTTGCGAGAAAAGGGCAACGGAGGAAAATAGAACCAAGCAGATCAACTGGTTCAGAGAAACCGGGTAAGGTCGCTCAAGTCGCAAAACGGCGAATCGGTCCGTGTCAATTTGTCCCGCGCTCTCCCAAGCGACCGTTTCGTGAAAAGGAATTTGACCCCCAGCAAGCGCGCCAAGGATCCTTGGCCAAGGTGGGAAAAAACTGGCATGGGGGTGCCATCGCATCGCAAGGACTTGTGTGGATAGTGCTCGGGAGAGGGGCGGACGGAGCTTCGGAGCTCGTTGCAGCCCTCACTTGAACCTCCAAAAAGTTTGTCACATCTCGCTTTTCTTATCCTGCACGGATCACTTTTGGACGGCGGAGGAAGCACATCGGTTAAGCGACCTCCACTCCTCTCTTCGTCGGAAAGATCTTCCCTCAACCGAGTGAGAGAAGCAGCGTTAATTGATCATCTCCAAACGAACTAATCTCGTGCTGGGAGAAGCTATCCACAACTCCGACCAGCTCCGCAGAGCAAACTTGTGTCATTCAGGGGTGTGGCAATAGGGCAGCCACGATCAGGAGGTATTGAGAAACAATACTCTCCTACCTTCCTTTATAGAGGGTCAGTCACCGGTGGCGGGGCCACTTGTAGCTGGGCACACTAAGCGCACCCAAATCGAGGGAAGTGGCTATCCTCACGGACCGTGGGCTTGGGAGGTTGGGGCGGGAAGGAGCGTTGCTCTTTTGGCCCCAGACCGGAGAGTGTGCTCAAGTACGAAGTACAAATGAACAACATTGAAGAACCTGAAGGCTTCTCCTTCCATTTCTACTTGTACTTGAATTAGCTGGTCTCGAAAACACACGTAGGGACTAGAGGCTTGAAGTTCGCGATCGCGATCGCAACTCTAACTTTCTCTCCTTGTGATCGGCGCAGAGTTCGCTCAAAGCCCCGACAATGGAAGAGATCTGTTGCTGTACTGATCGATCTGTGCAACATCAACGCCTTCCCCCATGAATAACTGCCACCTGCCACAGGTTCACGGCCCACGGAAAAGGCGCACAGGACAAGCAAGCATCTGCCCTGCTGGGCCCGCCCTAGCATTGGTTAGGTCTCTCATTGGTGGCCAAGCTGCTAAGCGAGGTCCCGACATTCCCATGCCAAACATGACGATTGGCTCAAGCCACTTGCGCACTTCGGGTTAGCCAACCGACAGGACAATGTTATTACTTTTCTCGGAGGGAATATTAGTATTATTACTGCAAGTCGCACCACGCAGAACGCAGAACGGGATACTAATCAAATCGGTGACCCTGCGCCGAGAAAAAGAAAGAAAAAGAAGCCTCGAATGAAACTCGTCAAGTCAAGGCCAATTGCGAAGCTGTATGGCGAGACTATCCGATCGATACGGCTACCGTAGCCCCGTGTAATTCAATGACCACTCGCTTCGCTGGAGCGCAAGGGATAGCATCTTCCTGTCCGCAAGGAGCCGAACCTGGTGGCGACCAGGACGGGGTTAGGCGAGGGGATTGGATGGTCAACCCCACATTCAACTCGGTATCTTGCCCTTCCGGTGCGGGAAATTCTGCATTTGTGGTGGATTGGCGCTGTTTTGTTCTCCTCACTGAAGCGAAGGGGAAGGAGAAGAAAAAAACGGATGTTGAATCAATCCCATCACGCGCCCGAAGCGAGATTGCTTGCGGTAAGCTCCACCTTGAACCCTTTGTGCTAATACGGGGAAGGGAAAAGGAGGAACGGAGTAAAAGTAGAATATTTTCGCACAGAGGAGACTGACCAGAATCATTCAAGGTATCGGTAATCAGGCTTGCATCAGTATGTCATGTCATACAGCATAGATCTCCCTCCAACCGAGGGACCCCACGCCCCGGCTTCCTTATCTCGCCTCGTAGGCGAGGTGCAGCTGTCTAACCGACCCTCTATAAAGGAGGGGAAACGAGGGTCGCTCCAGGGGAGGGAACAGCGGTTTCTTGCTTTTCCCTTCTCCTCTAAACGGCCTTTTTCCAAAACGGACCAGGCCCATCCATGCTTGCTTACCAATTTAAAGCCTGCCTCCGTTCCCCGGTAAATGTTTCAATGGACGGCATGGGGGCTCTGAGACGCAATTTAAAAAGACAAATCTCGCTTGCGCTTAAAACGACATTGAAGTTGTTTCGAAAGGCCCTTTGCCAGCTTTGGGACAGCGTGCGTACACCCGTTTGGCCGCACTTGCATCACAAATTATTATGCTAGTGCATGAAGAGGCATCAGTCTGCTGTGGCGCCGTTGCCGGAAATATTTTGACAAGAGGACGGCAGAATGTTCTTTGTTTGTTATCCTATTAGAAAGAAGAAAAGAACATCGATGAAGAAACCCTAGCCGTCGCAGTTTTGGACCATCAAATCCATCTTTTAGACCTACACTACAACCTTGATGCCAATAAAAGACGTTCCTCATCGGCGGACAACGTTCTCTGCACTTGGATAGATGGAGCCTACCGTGCACCTCCTTAACACCGTTGCATGAATCACAGAACATGGAAAATCGGCGTCCATCTCGGTCAAGCCGTCTCCAAGGGATCTAGAAGCCCCGCCTGTCATTTCCATCTTCTCCTCGGAAGAACGGCGAGGCAAGGAACAAGAGCTGTGACCACGCTGGGGGATGCGTTGATGAAGCCGCAAGCCTTGCCCTTTCCCGGTCAGTCCCCGCTCGGGACCAGCTCCTTGCCAAGTCCCAACTGAAATCGCCCATTGGTTGTATGGGTGGATGGATGGGTGGGTGAAGGACAGGATTGAAAACACCCAAAGATGCAAAACCGGTCCAGCTAGGTTCATTGATACATCAACCGAGGAGTCACGGGCAAGATGAACAAATATGATATCACTTTCAAGGTCAACAATACACAGTTTTGGACAACCTTGGAGCCGTGAAGGATCAAGAGCAAGGGAGAGGAGGTGCTCGGTAAGGCCGGTGGGATTCAAAAGTGCTCATCACATGCACTCACCGAGCTTGATCCTATTCTCAACCCCTCACTTCATGGGCCACACACACACACACACACACACATACACACATGGTATAGGGCAGGGGAAGAATAGAGGAGAAGTTGACTGGACGAATCGGTTAATCCCCAGTACTCCTTCAGGTGCTTTCCCACAACCATCTACCCGTTTGGGCATTGAATAATGCGACCCCAAACCCAATTCTCGCCCAACACCCTTTCGCCCATCACAGTCGCTATCTACACTTTTGGTGGGTGGTTAAGAGCCTCCTCCCCAGAGGACCTGCCAAAGCCCCTCGGAGCCTCATCCGCCCCGTCATTGCTGCAAACGTGGGAGTTGATCCGAGGCCGACCGTGGTGTAACGTTCCCTGCCGAGTCCTGCCCACATGCAGCGCTGTTCGTCGGGACAACCTCGTCGTTGCCGAACCTATCCGGCCGGCGTGAGAAACCCAGGTCCTGCAGAGTCTACCGGAACGGGTAGCAAGCACCGCATGGAAAGGCATCCCTGGGAGAGGGAATCGGTCCATTGAGAGGCCGATCCGGCAAGCTCGAAGCGCTGTGCGACACGAAGATGCACCCTTCACCAACCCAATGATCAGACGGCTCTCGTCGGTGTTGTGTGATTTCAATGTTGTGTGTTCAATGCTAACAAACTTCAAATGAGAAGGAACCAACGTCTGATTGAAGGATACTGCAAAATCTATCACATGCAAGTCAAGAAAAGGTAAGCGAAACGAAGCAGAACCCAAAAGTAAAGAGAGAAAAAGAAACACATCGTTATAGGCTGCGCTTTTGGTGTCTGCGAACAGCCCTCTAGCTCTAAACCCCCGTTTTCCCTAAACGCCAGATGACCCAAATCTAAAAAAGAAAGAAAAACAAATCCCGTTTTCGTCTATACCGTCTTCTTTTTTCGAGCTTCGCCAGTTTTGTTCTAACTCTTTTTCGATGCTCCGTCTTTCTGCTGCTCCAGCACGAGACGCTTGGAAGCAAAGATGCAAGATCCCAAGTCTATTGATGACAGCCGCTTCGCTCGCATTGAACACGCTCTAAAACAACGAGTATTGGGGGCAAACTCTTGTCTGTTCCCACCAGAGAGAGGATACACCGTTCGGCATCGCTTCACGGTGTTCCATGCAAAAGATATGCAGGATATGCATTGCGGGTCTCTCTAAACGGGTTGACCTTGCAAGGCGGCTCATTCGTATCTAGTTTTGTCTTCGTATCTCATTGTCGTCGCTAACAAAAATTTCGTTCATGGTGAAAAATCAACTCTTCTTTTTTGTTTCGTTTTTCCCCTTTAGTAATGAGGGACCTGCAGGCAGCCAGCTTCGACGAATCGTCCCTGGTAGGCGGAAGGCTTCTGCTTTCCGTCGACCCATCGGTGTCTGATTTCGCCTGCCTCGCAGCTGCTGTTTCGGGGCTCACATTCGAGACCATGGGCGCTCTGGCTGGCCAGGGTCTGCCAATGGGCATCCAAGGGCGACTCGCAGGCGCCCAGACGAACCCATTTGGTGACATTGATGGACCAGCCGCCGCTTCCGCGCTGAGCCTCCTCGTCATCCTCGGACTCGGACTCGGACTCATCCCACTCGTCACCACGAACCTCCATCTGGAAATCAGTGTAGCAGATGGGGCAAGAGCGGACGGGACCGGCAAGCCTCTCAACAGAAGACAGGTCGAGACCCTCGGCGCCGGGGAACTCGAGCAGGCGGCTGCCCTTGACGTGGTTGCAGATGAAGCGATCAGCATCATGTTCGACCCAGCGGCCGAGAGTCTTGGCGCCACCGGCACCTTGGTGGTAGTTCCACACGGCGCGGAGGAAGAGCTCGCCGTCGATGACCTTGGCAGCCCAGGACTCCTTGATGGTGATGTTGCGGGATCCCAAGGTGACGGCGTGGTCCATGTGGAGCTTCTCTAGCTCGGGTCCATGAGCGGGTCCCCGGATGCGACCGTGGAGAGCGAGGCGGGCGGTGTGGAACTTGAGCTTGTAGCTGAAGCCAGTGAGGACCCAGGGGTCGGGACGGTCACGGAACATGCAGGAAGCGTCGTAGTTGGACACGCCGTGCTCGCCCTGCTGGTGGTGCTGGTGGGGTGCCACTTGTGAAGGGAGCTGCAGTGGTAGCAGTAGTAGAGTGCGGCGGCGTCCTTTTCGAGGAGCAGCAGGAGGCTCTCGCGGGCGGCAGAATCGAGAATCTGGTTCCTCACGCTGTACTTGGCGTGCAGGCCGCGACAGGTGAGGGCGAAGGAGACGACGGACTCGGCGGGGAGAAAGTCGAGGGTGATGTCGAGGATCTCGGTGGGCATCTGGAGGATGTAGGCGGGGTCTTTTGAGACTTGGTGCGGTGGGCCAGCGCGGGTGCAAAGGAGTGCGCCCCGCGCTGGGGTCCAAGATCTCCATCTTCATTACGATAGCAGCAAGAGAGCGGTGAGTTGGAGGGAATGGAAGCACAAAACTCTCATGTTCGAGATAACTCGGGAAGAAGAAAAGAAAAAAAGAAGGCACGAGGCAGGCCAGAAGAAAGGGGACAATCAGACTAAGAGAGAAGAAAAAAGTAGACTAGAGGAAAGTTAGAAGACGGTTGCGCGAGACGGGGAAAGGGGAGAGAAGAGAGGGAAATGGTGGCCACCGCTCCTTTCTATTGATCAAAAAAAAAAAAAGGGGACTGGATCTCGATAAGATTTTTTTCTTTTTCCCTTTTTCTTTCTTTTCTTTTTTTTTTTTCCCCTTGAACGACAGGGCAGACACCAATCAATTGGCCAGGAAAATAATCCGCGCCTCAGGGAAAAGTCGGCCGCCTTGGAACTAAGCTCTTTTGATAGGCAGAATCTCCGAAAGTGGCTTGTCTTGAGGCAAGGCACGGGTAGAAAGAAAAAGAAAAAGAAGAAAAAGAAAAGTCCAGCCTAGTGGGTCTATATTCAGGGCCAGTGGAGAAAACTGGCCCGTTCCTCAATAGGAATGAGTGACAAAAGTTTTCTTTTCTCTAGTTCAGAAAGAGAAAAGGACAAAAAGAAAAGAAGAAAAAGAAGAAGAAAAAGGCTCACCGCCTCCGGGAAGAGTGGACGCTTCTGTGGCGATCCCTGCTGCTGTTTATCGATCTTTTTTGTATTCTTATTTCCCCCTCATTCAACCCCTGGACTTGCGCCATTCGAACAAGGGAAGACCAGGGAGCATGGGGACATGGGGGAAAGGAGCCATCATTTTGAGGATAAGGACAGAGTGCCCGTCTCACATGCAAATTTCGAGAAATAATGCCACAAAAGAAACACATCTCGAACATCAAGAGACCAGCCACTACCCTAACACTGGAATACATAGCAAGTAAGCAAGCAAGCAGGTCATAGGCGGAAGGCAACTCCGAGCCGAACCCAGAAATTAAAGGGGGCAAAAGCCCGGCCTGGTGGCCAAAGTGCCACAAATGGCTTTTCGAGGGAGGAAAAAAAGAAGTCGACGGGACCACGGGAGAAGAATCCATGCTCGGGTCGGGATGGGGTTTAGGCTTGGCTAGCAGGATCGACCGGGGCAGGTTTGGGGCAGATGGGGATTTGTTCGGGATAGACTCGTGCGTGGGCCTTGGGACGAGTGGCGACTGGCTTACCTTAATTTTCCTCGATGGGTCTGCGAGTATTGGTATCAATGCCTGGGTAGTTATACTCGTTTCATTGATCCAATTCCAATAACCAGAAAAAAAAAAAAAAAAAGACGCAATAGGGCTAGGAAAAGATAGTGAAGGATGACAAGAGCGATGCTCAGCCAGCTCCGTCCGTATATGCAGATAAGATTGACGCACACGGGTCGTGAACCCATTCCACAAACAGTGTCATCCTCCATTCTTCTCTCTCTTGTATCTCCTCAATTCCTCAAATAGTGACTCGTCAGTGCTCTCAGTGATGACCTCGACTGGTCTGACTCCTCCAAGCCTAACGAGCTGACCCCCACCTAGGCTCAAGTGAACCTGCCACGTTGAGCACGCAGATAGAGACTCGACCTATTAGCCCAAGCCCAGATACTGTGCCCTGACTGGTTCGCGTTGACAGCCAACTTGTCTCAAGCTGCCTTTCCACTCCCAAGACGCCACATGCACGATCCATAACTCTCCCCGTTCGCTGGCCGGGTAGGCGCCAGCAAGCTATGTGCGACCTGTGCATGTGCTCCGGGCAAACCTTGCGCGCTCGAACAAGCTCCGCCGACCCTCAAACTCACGTCCATCTGAGGGTCAGGCTAGAACCTTGACAGTTTTGCCGGAGCCTCGCGCAAGCACGCCGGATGCAATCTCTAATGTTGCATCTAGTCCTCCCACCTACCATAGAGCAGGGGAACCTCATCAGACAGGTTTCGACGTAAGGACACGCAATCAGCCCTGGAAGCCTCGTGAAGTGGTGGGAACCCCTCGACTGCGTATAGGGGAATGTTGGAATTATTATGGATATATACAAAAAAAAAAAAGGGACAATGCCATTTGCTTCAGGTTATGCTCTTGCACGCTCGTTAAAACTCCCTCCATTGCGACTGGACATTAGACGCGCCTCTTCTCGAGGATACACTCGCCCAGCGGCTTCCCCACGACGTGCTGCCCATCCCACACCCGATGACCCCGCACCCACGTTTCCTTGACCCTCCCGCAAAACACCTTGCCCTCCCACGGCGAGCAGTTATTCTTCCACCGCATCTCGCCCCGGGTGAGCGTCCACTCCTCCGTGTCGTCGAACACGCACACGTCGGCGTCCAACCCCACCTTGAGGCTACCCTTGCGGTGCGCCAACCCCACCTGCCGCGCCGTCTCCACGCAACAGAGCCGGACAATGTCCGACAGACTGAGGTTCCTCTCCCGCGCCGCCGTGTGCAGAATGGGTAATCCGAGACCGACCGACGAGATGCCGCCCCACGCCGCCATGAAATCCCCCGGCGTCACCTTGGTCTCCCTCCCCGCCTCTCCTTCTTTTTCTTCTTTTTCTTCTTCTTGCGGCTCCACCTCGATAGCCGAATCGGCCAAAGTCTCCGTCGAGCTCGCGGCGGCGGCGGCGGCCGTCTGCCCACCCAACCGATGCGGCAAGATCTTGAGCTCAGGCGTGCACGGCGAGTGATCCGACACCACGGTCCGTATACACGAGTCCGGCCTCATCAGCTCCGCCCACAGGGCGTCGCGGTTCTTCTCCGTCCGGATCGGCGGACAGCACTTGTGCCGCGTGTCCCCGTCCTCGATGGACTCAGCTGCCAGCTCCAGGTAGTGGAAACACGTCTCGGCCGTGATTTTTAGCCCCTCGGCGCGGGCCTTGCGCAGTAAAGGGATGCACTCGGTCGCGGAGAGATGCACGATGTGGAGGTGCAGGGCGGGCGCGGACGGGGCGAGCTTGAGGATCTCGGCGACGGCCGAGGTCTCGAAGCTGGGGGCGGGACTCGAGAAAGGTGCTGTACGCCGTGGGGGCGCCTGGTGGCTTTTCGGGGGCGTCGGCGGAGGAGGAGGAGGAGGAGGGTGATGCGCCGCAATCCATTTCTGCGTGGAACATGAGGGTCGTGGGCGAGTTTTGGAGGACGCGCATGGCGCTCGCCACGTCATCTGGGGTTACGGCGGGGAATTCTTCGACCTAGATTTCAGGTTGGGGTTAGCATGCATGCATACAGGAATCGCACCAAGAAAAAGAAAAAAAAGTTTTCGTTTAGACGTCCTTCTTCCTCTCAGCAGGGTGGATACGTTGGCCCCTAAACATAACGGCACTCGTTCTGCTTACCCCAGAGTCGATCAAGAAGCACTTGAACCCTCGAACACCGTGCTCGATCAAGCCGAGCAACTCCCGCTCGTTCCCGGGAATAACCCCGCCGTAAAAGCGACATCCACCCAGCACTTATTCTTCGCCGCCGCGGTCTTGGCCCAGAGCCCCGCACCGTGGTGGTGGGCGGGATGGCGTTGAGCGGCATGTCCACCACCGTGGTCACGCCCCCGGCGGCGGCGGCGCGGGTACCCGTCTCGAAGCCCTCCCATTCCGTGCGGCCGGGCTCGTTGAGGTGGACGTGGGCGTCGACGAGACCGGGGAGGAGGATCTTGGGCGAGTAGTTGATGTAGGTCGTATCGACGGGGAACGAGCTCTGGGGAGGACGGCGGGGACGATGGAGGTGATGCGGCCGGTGTGCGGGGAGATGGTGATGGTGGCGGGTGTGAGTAGAAGGCTGTTGTCGGGGAGGGTGAGGATGGCTCGCGTGGAGGTGAGCACGACTTGTAAGGCCATGGTGAGTTGCGGTGGTGGCGGACGGGGCCTGTTTGGTGTGTGCTCCGGTGGCGGGTAGGAAGACGAAGAAGAAGAAGAGAAAAGGGGAAAGGGGGAAAAAAAAAAGGTCGAGGGGCGGCACGGAAGCAGGAAGGAAGTTTGTGTGTTGATGAAGGCTCTGCTGAGCCTAGGAGATTTGTCTCCTGGTTATTTCTTCTCTCGACGTGACGGATGGTGGATAGATCAAAGAATGTGTGGGTTGTTGCCCTTGGTGCGGTATCGTATCGGTATCAGCGGGCGTTATATGTGGTGTCAAATTGTTCTGTCGTCGGGCATGCTAAACAAAAGCTTGGGAAGGTTTTGTCGACTGGGACGCAAAGAGATAGCGTTGATGGATAGCGGCGGGGTTGCACGGGTGGGTGCGTTGACGGGACGCGGGGTTATTAAATTACTTATAAACGGATTGAGATGGATCAATGACATGGATGTTGGATGTATGGCAAGGGTGTGTGTTGTGTGTGTGTGTGCGTGCGGTTCTGACGCGAATCAGGGTCGAGGGCGACACGACCGAGCTATTCGCCTTACACCAGCGGCGCGGATACAACTGAAAGCGCAGAAGAGCAAGAGCTGGCCTGGCCGGGGTCAAAAGTCGGGGAAAAGTCGGAATGGAACGGCAAAAAGAGACAAGAGAATGGAGACTGATGAGGCACGGCGGAGCAAGAAAAGTAGCAGCTCTAGAGAGCCGGGAGGAGATGACGACGTACGGCTCTAGAAGAAAAATGGTACGCCAGGGTTCTAGGTATAAGAAGTGGATTGAGGAAAAACAAGTCGAGACAACGAAGGCCATCTGGTGCAGTACAGGGATCATTAACAGCCTCTGAACTGAACGCGCAATCCCGGCAACAGACTAAGAGATCCATAGATGCCGTGCAGGGCAAGCAGGGCACGGGAACACGAGGAGTTGGTCCGAGGCAAGACGCCACAGCTATAAGAGAGAGTTTCCTGTCTTGTGCCTCTTCCGGTCCCTTGTCCCCACTGCTTAGCGTCTCTTTTGATTCTCTCCCGCTTCCTATTTTCTTTTTTTCTTTTTTCCTCTTCTCTTTGGACCCTGTCCTCCTTGGACGGCGACAATGACGCCTGGCAAGAAAAAGGGAGGGAGCACGAGAGAAGAGAGAATGGGGTGGGTGGGGTAGACGGCGTGGACTCGATACGATGAGAGACGGCGATGGGGGATCTCTTTACATCATATACCCATCCACAAGTTGGATCGACACGCCCTAATGAGGATGGGGGACCTGGTGGAGGGGCAGATTTTAGTTTGGAGATGTCATCAGAAGGCAAAGCTATCATTTCAAAAGACGAAGAGTAAAAAAAGCGGGCAATTGAGTTCCCCTCCAAGGGACGGGTACTGGTAGCAAAGGGGTCATTGGGGGCAAAATTGGGTGAATTGGCAGCCGAGTCCGTTGTGCTTCCTCGGCAAGTCACATTGGGAAAGAGAGAGATCGATTTCTCTCTTTCCCGAGTATCTAGCTTGTTGGATTACTGTCTTTTTCGTGGACAGTGTTTTAGCGGCGCTCTCCGGCGGCGACAACCGGCCGTTATCTTTTCAGCGTTCTTGACCACTCTCTTCCTTCCTGGCTCGCCCCACAGATAGCCAGCTTGAGCTACATATGGACAAGCACGACGGCGGAGACGGACCCGATCTATATGGGCCATCGTCCACTAGAGGAGCCACACAGCATCTCCGATGGCTCTAGCTGTGGATTCTCGGCGGCAAGGGTAATTGATGCAAGTGGATCATTGATGGTTGCAGTTTCACTCTATTCATGAATGAGGGCCCTATTTTATTTTATTTTGTTTTTTTCCTTTGCAATAGTCTTCCAGGGCCAGGCTAACGGCATTTGCCCGAGAGCTGACTGCATCAAGGTGGGGTTGGCCTCGAGGGAAAAAGAACAATGAAGAGAAGAAGAAAAATAAGAAAAAAGGGGGACTGGGCTATGCTCTCTTGCAAGGGAGATTTGGGACGTTTGCTTGCTTCGTGTGTCTGGTAGCTCTCGTTGGCGGTGCTCGCGGCATAGGTTTTCCGATATACATAAATCCTATCACTCGTAAGATGGCAAAGCAAAGCAGACAGGGCCAGCGAGAACCGAGACTACGATAAAAGTGAAGACCCGGGGTCTGGACCGTCTTGGCAAACGTAGCAGCAGGATGGCTTTGCAGAAATGGATTTCTTTTTGCCATCATTCCCTCGCTACCTTGCGTTCATTTCTTATTACTGAATATGCATGGGGGACGATGCGCGGCCCTCCGCGGGTCTCGACGATGCAGTCCATTGGCTTGCACCCTCATCTTCGGCTGTCGGTTCTTGTCGATCGCGCCCAGGCCCCAAAGGCCGTCAAGTTGGCAACGATCTCTTTTTCTTCTTTTCTCTCCACCCCACACACACCTTTCCGTCTCCCGGGCTAGTCTGTACTTTTGTTTCTTTCTCCCCTTCTTTGCGCTTCGCTAGCTTTGCAAGCCAAGCTTGGGTTAAAGAAGAACAAACGCCCTAGCAACAAGTCTTTTTTTCTTCCTTTTTCTTTGGCAGGAGCAGAGAGATGAGTGGCCCTTGCCCCTGACCTGCGAGTGTTCGTCTTCTGGGCGGTAGGCACTATCCAGGCTTACCAGGTGAGAGGGTGACACGGTATTAATCGCGGATAGACTCGGAAGCTACATTTCAAATGTAGACGAGAAGCGGAGGGTGAGGCTGTGGCATGGAGGGGACAGCCAGCGCGGTTACGTCATTTCTGGAACCTCGTGGCAGGATAAACCATACACCCTCTCAAAATTACATGGCAAGCGTGGACCCATCCTTGGGTCAGTGTCATCCTCGGTATGCGTTGATCTAGGAAGTTCTTGAAAAACAAAGAGAGCCTCAGAGCCTTGGGAAAAGAAAACAAAAGAGACAAGGGAAGAAAAAGAGGGCCAGTGGGGTAAGGGTTTGGGCAGGGTTTCCTTGCCATCCAGGTGTAGCCGTAGATCCCTAAAGTTCTTTAATTTTGGCTCCTTCTACATCTCCACTCCGAAGACGCTTAAGTATTGTCAGTTTTTTTCTCGACTCTCTTTTCTTTTAGTGTCATTTCGGAGTGACATGAAGTGTTCTCGACCTTTGAGCCAACCCATCTCGAGAGATTGGTACACACTCCAGTCAGTTCCACGACAGCGACGACATGGGGAATTCCGAACAACCAAGATGGAACGCACACTCGCCCGTCTGAAAAAGACAAGACATGTGGCTAAAGGAGAAAAGAGGCATATCTGCGTGGCGTCCTCCTTTTTCCAGTCCCTTTTCTCAACCTCTTGGCACCAGTGACAGCAAAGAACTATATAACCTCGCTGCACGGGTCAGCCGCGCCAGCGGCCTTTTCTCGGATCGCGGCCCTTGCACGTATCAAGTCCCCTTTCCACTCCAGGCTCTCCTTGTCCACTCGTGACGTCGTCTCGAACGTGTGTGTGTGTGTGTGTGTGTGTGTGTGTGTGTGTGTGACCCTCTCCCAGCCTCACTCCGTCAGCTGGACGCGCTAGACGCACTCTTGCATGTCTTGCGTGAAAACGTCCAGGCCTACTTCCCATTCCCGATACTCGCCACGCCCACGGAGCGGGGTGGAAGAACCATCGAGACCCAATCCCCAGGGAGTCAAGAAAACTAGACACCGGGGATGGGGGAAAGCTTCCTCGTGGCCCTTACCACAGGCCCCGCCCTACGTGATTATGTCCCGCTTCACCAAACTCGGATCCCGGCGTAGGTGCCGCTCAATCTTCGCCCCAGTCCGGCCGCGGTCGGGGGAACAAACGCTGAGCGGGTAGGCCATTGCGTCACCGACGCCCGCAGTAAAATGTGAATAAATGCTAAGAGGCTCTATTTCGTCTATACTAATACACGCGAGGAGATACGGCGTTACGGGAAGGAGAGGGGAGAGGCGAGGGGGAAAAAAGAGAGCGGAAACAGGAGAAGAGAATAGAAAAAGACCTAGGAATGCCGCCGCGAACAAAAGCTTTCCGGTCGCCAGCTTTCACCGTGAGCATACGCCAAAGGTGCAATCTTGGCACATTCCTGACCAACTTCACCCCGTTTCTCCTTTGCTCTGAAGCCTCATAAATACAGGTAGAAGAATAGAACCAAAGGGGAAAAGGGCATGAAACAAAAGACAGAGTGAAATGAGAAGGAAAAATACAGGATATGTAAACAATATTGAAACAAAAAACAGGGGAGAAGAGGGGTGCGGAAACTGGAATCTCTGCAAAGAGCACTGATAATCCCCATTGGCAGCCTTGAAGCCAACGATAGAGAAGGGGCAGTCGTTCGTTAACCTCTTCCCCTCCAGTACCGGGCTTCATTCCTCCTCTACCTCCCCGTTTGTTTGGAAGTAATGGACGCAATGTTTTGAGGGGAATGAGATATGATGATACCTTGTAATAATACACTTGGGACGGATGCTGTTTCCACCCTGCTTTTCTCTACTCATTCTCCCCTTCACTCTTCCCCTCTCCCCAAGGATAGCACGGCCCGGCGATCGCTCGCGACTAGCGCAACAAGTGATCGAGCAAAGCTGATGGTTCGCGTCGCCCGCGGCTAGACCTGGCCCAGGCAAGACGTACATGGACCTCGTTGTCCAGAACGCACAGGGCGGGGGAAAAAGGGCCCATGGACATGAGGGACGCGAGCCGGCGCCGTTCATGCAGGGACCACATCACCACACCATCTCGAGGACCCCGTGCATCTCGAAACCCCCTTCTACCCCGCGCCGCCATTTCCCCTCCGCCTCTATCCCCGTTGTCTTTCTCTAAAATCTCATTCCCTGCCCCGTCTATTAGTTGTCGAGGTAAAAAGAAAATCAAGGGAAACAGGGCGAAATAAATCAAAAAAAAAAAACGGAAACTCCCGCCTAGCCAAACTCCGGTTCGAGTCCCTGAATCTCTTTTGTGCAAGTTCTTTTTGGTTCTTGTTTTTAAATCCTTAAAATATTGGCTTTTGGTTCGTCGATGTTGTCTTTCCGTCCCATCGTGGTATCCCGGCGGCAACTCGGCTACCGGGACTGGACGAGAAGATGGGCTTGCGCTGAAGAGAATTCGACCGGGCCGATTTACTTCTTTCGCTTCAGGACGTCGCGGGTCATCTGAATCAAGCCCTCCTTTGCCTCGCTGTCAGGGAAGGCATCGAGGCCGCCGCCGCCTTGTTGGCGTAGTCTTCGGCGAGGGCACGCGTCTGCTCGATACCGTTGCTCTGGATTACGAGCTCACGAGCCTATACAATAACGAGTTGTTAGCATTCGTCTAATGAATTATGGGGTAACATCTCGGCGGACGTTTGATTCCGCTGAAAAATAGTTGGCCGCATCTAAGAGTAGGGAGAAAGAAGAAAAGGGGGAAAGCTTACCCTAGCAACATCGCCCTCCTCGGCAAACTTCCTACCCACGAGAGCACCCAGCTCCGGGTTCACCTTCCACGCGAACAAGAGGGGAGCCGTAGCGAGGCCGAGCTCAAGGTCCGCGCCCGCAGGCTTGCCGAGGTCCTTGCCGCTAATGGTATAGTCGAGCATGTCGTCAACGAGCTGGAATGCGAGACCGAGGTTTTTTCCGTACGCGTACGCGGCATCGACGGTGGCGGCGTCCGCGCCGCCGAGGATGGCGGTAGCCCTGCACGACTTGGAGATGAGGCTGGCCGTCTTGAGGTACGTCTTTTCCAAGTAATACGTGAGGGCGTCCTCGGTCCAGACGGGGTCGCGCTCGCCGGCCTCGGTGTTGCGGAGCTGCATGAACTCGCCCTCGACCAAATTGGCGATGACGGTGGCGAGCAGCTCAATGACTTCGGGGTGGCGGAGACGGGCGAGGGAGACGGAGGCACGGGCGAGGAGGAAGTCGCCGCCGAGCACAGCCATCTTGTTGCCGAACTCGAGGTTGGCCGAGGGGGCGCCGCGGCGGACTCCGAGTGGTCAATGACGTCGTCGTGGAGGAGGGAGGCGGTGTGGATGGTCTCGGTGATCTCGGCAAGCCGGCGCTGGGCGGGGTTGACGCCGGGTATCGGTTCGGCGTCGGGGGCCGGGTTCAGGCTGGCGGACTGGGAGCTCGGGTTCACGTCCGAGAGGATGGAGATGGGGAGATGGCCTGGTCGATGGAGATGGCGCTCGCGCGGAGGGACTCGGGCCCGGCCTTGGGGCAGAGCGCGGTGGCGCGCGCCATGAGCAGCACGATGCGCGGGCGGACGTACTTGCCTTCCGCCTGGGTGTAGTACTTGGCCACCCGGTCGAGCTGCGGGGTGCGGGACGCGACGAGGTTCTTGATGCTGGGCGTGAGGAACTTGGTGCTGAGCTCCTTGGCCACCACCTTGAGGGGGTGGACCGGCAGATCCGCAGGGCCCGGGACGGCGCCGACCGCCCGCTTCGCCGCGTTGCTCACGACGTTGGTGGCGACCGACGCCATGGCCGCCCACGCGGACGACTTCTGGACGACGAGTGGTACGACCGCCGCGTCGGGGACCGGAGAAAGAGGCGTTTCCGTCGGTTGCTGTCAGAGGTATCCTCGTGTAGGGGGCGGCGGCACCACCGTGGGCGGATGTGGACAGGGAGAGGGACGAGGTCAGGGAGGAGGTGCGGCCATTGCACCGGACGCGGCTCTGCTGCGATGACTGGCAGGAGTAGTGCCGGACACCTTGCCGTATGACGGGTCGCATCTTGTCGAGTGTTGAAAGGGGGTCTAGGAGGGGGTTGAGGGAGCGGTGGATTATCTTCGAGGAAGAGAAAAAAATTGGAGCTATATTCTCGGATAGGCTCGCGGCAAGGTAGGCTTTCGACAAGGTGCCTTGGTGGAAGGTCTCGAGGCTTCCCTGCGGTCTTAATTGGAAGATGGAGGAAGGGGGAGGACGAGGAGAGGGAGGTAGGTCCGAATTGCGTCGTCTAGCGACTCGACATGGGCCAATCTGATGATGTTTTCGGAGGAGTCGGCTGGCGATGCAATCGGGGGACAGGTGCAGCTATTGTTTTTTGTCTCCTTGGTTGAAAAGGCACGAATGAGAAATTTCGTTCCTCGCGTCCTTCCGGGTCGGGTGGGCCTTCTCTTTTTTTTCTTTTCGTCCACTGGGTAAGCTAGCAATGGTCGAGGCTAGGCTTGTTTTTCTCCTTCTTCTTTCCCTTCCCAAATGCTCCAGTTTTTAGTTTCACTGTAATAATTTTTTTCTTCTCAGAGAGAGTCGTTCGATCCTTATTCCGAGTTGTTGCGAACGCGGATTCTCACCCCTGGCGACCAGCTGTCCTGTCTGGTGGGGCTGCATTAATACGATATTATTGGATGAAGAACCTCTTTGCCAGTTGTACATGAGTGATGACCGAGACCGATCCGCTTGGTGCTTATGCCGATGCAGGTACATTGATCAATTGGCATTGTTCTCGTGCACAGGCCAGGCCTGAGCTACCGGAGTTTATTTCTCTGCCTACATGTACGTAATGCATCCATATCGACAAGAATAGGCAACGTGAAAACGAACCTCTTCTTTCCCCACCAACTTTATTGTTATGCCGCGCATCCGGCATCGACCGTAGCTGCATAATGGTCCTCCTCACCATGACGCCTTCCATAGTGGAAGGTCTGAAGGCCCTAGATCAAAACCAGCCCGATGCGCCCAAGTCAGAGGCCGAACAGCGAGCTCCAGCCCAAGAACCGGATCTTGAGGCCCCGCCGTGGGCAAACCCATTTCCCACGCCCAGATCCTCGACCTATGGAAGAGGCTTGGGAAAGAAGATCGGACGGAATTTACGTTGGAGACCCTACTCCGCGGCTCCTGCGTTTACATACCCCCACCACTTCCTAAACCTGAACCTGTTTGTTCAACCCAACCCGCCTTGACTGCTGCTTCTTTTCCGATACTGGGATTTGGTTGGGCTTTGGTCCGCAGCTCAGTATCTAGACCAAGGGCATCCACTTTATGTATCTTTCGCAAGCTAACCATTTTCTTTGTGAATCGCAGTCTCCCGAATACAAAGCCCTCATGGCCCGCCTCCGCCGCGAGGAGGAAGCCCGCGCCTACGAACGCATGCTCAACCCCACACCCACCCTCGAGACCTTTCGCAGCGCTTTCCCAACGCCCGTAGCAGCGGCTTTTGCCGAAGTCAACCGGCCGCACAACGCACGAGACGCCGACCTCGGCGGGGACGGAGGGGAGTCCGCCGAGGGAGACTCGACGCGGCGGCGCTACGCGAGGTCAACAAGCAACTAATGCTGGTGTTCAACTTCCTCGTTAGCATCGTGGGCGTGGCGGCGACGATATGGATCGCGGCGCGCTGGTGGAGCGTCACGGCGCGGGTACTCGTGACGTTGGCCGGTGCGTTGATCGTCGCCGTGGCAGAGGTGGCCGTGTACTCGAGCTACATGTGGAGGATGGAGCAAGGGGCCGGCAAGGAGGTCAAAGTGCAAGAGGTCAGGGAGGTGGTGAATACTTGGGTTTTAGGCAAGGATGGGGAGGGGGATGGGGATGGCGGGGGACAAGAAGAATCCGGAGCGGGCGAGGCGAAGCTGGTTGGGAAGGAGACGGTGATAGAGGAGACGAATGTGCGGAGACGGAACAAGCCCAAATCATGAGGGTGGTAGCCATATTACCCTCTTCTTCTCTTTTAATTCAAATAATGTGAAATGATATCAAACTATGGGGTTTTTTCATTGCACTGCGTAGAGCTTCTCGATTTTGGAGCGGTCATAGCTTGATGCCAACGATGCGCTCGCAAGCTCGATCTGTAAGGTATCATCCATCGGCCTCTCGATTTATGCAAGGTTACACAAAACTGTCCGATGATGTGCAGGCTCCTCGTCCTGTCAATGACCTCAGTGCACGGCGTTGCCATGTCCCGCACGTGATCCCGCGAAGAAACGCGGCACGACGCGTCTTTTTCGCGATACGCAAGTCGCCGGTTAGTGGGGACGCTAGCAAGAGCCAATCGAGCAACACCAACAAACTCTTGATTGCGACCTTGTTCAGCCTCCCCGTTCTCGAGCCGCCAACAGTTGATGTTTACCCTTGCGACCCCTCTTCATCATACATGCACCATTTTTACATGATATTTTCGCTTTCTAGGCTGATCATTCTTTTCTTCCTTTGAATCTTTTCTTGCTATGTGCCATCTCATCCTTCCTTGTTGCGTACCAAAATCAACGCGATAGGCCCTTTGCGCGTTTCTTTCACTCCACGCGTCAGCCCTCTGGGAACCTCCCTTTTCGAAGCCCCCGGCCCTGACTCTTGATTGTCACGGCACAAAACAAGGGGCAGCGAACCGAAAGGAGCAAGGAAATGGCTCCCATCTCCATACACGACACATCGAAATCCCTTCTCGATGCATCCCCAAGCTCTCCGGAATTCATTATGTGAGTCTCTGTCTTTTTCCTCCGTTATGACGATACCTAGGTAGAGGCTGCAACTAACCAGAGTTCCCGACTCTAGAAAGAAGCCCCACGACGAATCGAGACTCCGTCCCAAGCAATGGCAGCGCGACGTGACCTCGTCTCCCGCAGCCACCATGTCAGCCTCCAGCAGCGCTGCGAACCGACGCATCATCCGAACCTACTCGAAGCGAAACGCATCCGCTCTCGCCGAGCCGCCCGCTAAGAGACAAAGGAGCGAGTCTGCGGCCCCCATGACCGATCCCACACCACCCCCGCCTCCGGCTCCAGCCGTTGTCGTACCAAAGAAGATGGCTGGGGCCGGCCAGCTCGCCATTGATAGTTATTTCTCTTCGGCAAACTCTTCGGCAAACTCTTGGGCGCGTGCTTCAAAGCCCTCGAGTGACGTTGCGAGACTGTCCTCAGGCTCTGTGTCGGATGAGGCGGCCCCATCGCCCCCATCGTCACCACCCATGAGGAAATGGACGAGTCCGAGGCGGCTCAAGATTCGGCCGTCCCTCACACCCATCTCAGCAGAGGAGGACAACAAAAAGAAGGCCGTTTCGGAAGACGAGGACGAAGGCTCGAGAAGAGGCGCTTTGGACAGTTTCTTCAAGCCGAGGATAGCAAATGCCGAGTCGAAAGAAGAAACCACCTCCCAGGCCACGAGACGAGCCAGCCGGCGAAACAAGGATTTACCGCGAGACGTTGTCAGCTCCCCGCCTGCCCAGACGCCGGAGACCGCTACGCCAGTCTACAATATGCCCTACTCCTTTTATGTAAATGCCGCCAAAGCGGCCGCCGCTGCTGCTGCCGCCCCGGAGCCTGCCTCCACCCAGAGAACAGCCCCTGGCGCGAAGACAGTGCAAACGACCTTGAATATCTCCGCAAAGCTGCCGTTCAAAGAGTGCAGGATCTGCGATACCGTTTATAACCCGCTCCACCCCGCCGACGTGAAGTTGCATCAAACCCGCCACGCCAAGGCTACAGGGGAAGGAACGGGGTCGGAGACGAGGAGGACCAGGACAAGGCAGAGGTTGTTGTAGTGGATGAATGGTCCACGACATGTTTTTCTCTTTTTACTCTTCTTTTTCTACGCTGGCGTTAGGCCTACATTTTCCTAGGGTGCATGGCATGGGCTTCGCATGGTTTTTGTGGCGTTGACATTGTGGGTAAAAAGCATCCAGGCAAAGCATAGTATATTCCCAGAGCACATTGAGCAATATATCCATATATTTATTTATTTTCCGATGAGTACCTCGGTACCTCGTGTTTTATTCCAATGGTGTGACGGAAGGACATGGCAACCGCAGTCGCAGAAGCCTACTGTCTAAAAAGAAGAGAACATGGTCCGTGGAGAAGGAATAAATGGAGAAACTAGGGAGAAAGTGATGTACAAGAAGTGAAGATTAGAAGTGAAACCTCGTTTTCGTTTTACACAAATACGACTGCGAGACAGTCAACACATCATAGTTGCGTTCACCCATCGGCAGCAAATCACTTGCGGGGTTCCTCGGGCGTAATTTCAGGGTCCTAGGGCTCGACGGGCGGGGAACCGCGCGTCTCATCCTCATCGTAGGGCTTGCCGGGGTCGACAAACTCCTCTGGCTCTTCAGGCTCGACGGGCGGGGACCGCGAATCTCATCCTCATCGTAGGGCTTACCGGGGTCGACAGACTCCTCTGGCTCTTCAGGCTCGACGGGTTCGACTGGCTCCTCGGACTCCTTGGGAGGAGGAGGGACTTCGTACGTCTCCTTCCACCAGCCGGCCCTCTCCTTGACGAGGTCGGCAGCCTAGGGGTGGTGTGTTGTCAGCATTCAATTCTCCTCCTTTTGGCAAGGATGGCAAGCCAAGGAGAAACAAAGTCGAGGTAGAAAGAGAAAAAGAAAAAGAATAATCAAGAGGCCGGCCGGGGTTAGCTTACCTTTTCGCCAATAGCGTAGGCCGTAGAGCTGGTATGCGTGCCGGGAATGAGGGGCATGACCGAGTTATCCGCTATACTCAGCTTCCTGGTACCGTAGACGGTGAGATCGGGCCCGACAACACCGCCGAGTTCCAGGGGCCCGAGCGAACAGGTACCGACGGGATGGCCGGTGCTCGGGGTAATAGTCCTACGGAGCCAGCCGTCGAGCTCGTCGGAGCCATCCGGATACTCCTCGAGGCCGGGGCGTACCTCGACGGGGGCGAGCGCATCGACCATGGCCTCGGAGGCGAAGAAGCGACGCACAAAGGCGACCATGATGGCGTTGACCTCGTTATCGACGGGGTTGACGAGGGCGCGGTAGTCCACGACGGGCTCGGCATCCCCGCGGCCCGTGTCCGAGGTACCGTCGTCGTCGGGGCTGATGTGGACGGAGCCGCGGCTGAGCTCGTGCAGGTTCACGAGGCTGAAGCTGGAGCGGCCGGAAAAGGGCAGCTCGAGGACGGCGGTGCCGGTGGAGTTGTACGTCTGGGCGAGGATGCGGAGCTGCTGCTGGTAGCCGGCGTACAGCGTGGGGTCGAGACCCTCGGGGAGATGGTCCTCGGCCTTTTGGGCGGCGATGGCGTCGACGATGGAGAGGTAGTTCTCGGTCAGCACGGATAAGGGTAGGAAGGCGCCGCTGTTGACGTAGGCGGAGTGTGGGCCCGTTTGGTTGGCGGCCCAGAGCTCGTCGGCGAGGGAGAGGAATTCGGGGTTGGTCTGGAAGTCTTCGGGCGTGGGGCCGAGGTCTTCTTTGGTCCCTGTAGGTTTGTGTGGCCACCGGGGTCGATGGGGCGGGTGGGTTAGCCGGGTTTCACGCGCGAACTAAAGTGGGTGGGGGATAAAGGAAGCAGAGAAAACAAGAACAAGAGGGGAAAATAACCTACACTCAAACGTCATGCCGTAGTTGGGGTGATCCTGGAAGTTCCAACCCACGCCAGGCAGGACAACCTTGGGCGTAACGCCCGCGGCTTCCAAGATGTCGCTGGGACCGATGCCGCTCCTCTGCAGAACCTGAGGGGAGTGTAGGGCGCCGGCCGAGACAATGACCTCCTTCCTCGCCTTGACGGACCACGCCTTCTTGGGCATGGGCCCGTCGCGCGGGGTGAAGAGGACCCCCTTGGCCTCCCAGGCGGAGACGCCCTCGTCGTCCTCGGCTTCTTCGAGAATGACCTGGGTGACGCGATGCGCGGGCAGCAGGTGGAAGTTGGTGCGGTAGGCGGGACCCGGACCGTCTTCGGTGTCGTAGTGCCCGATCTTGGAGTAGGAGCGGGTACGGGTCGACGGGTCGATGGAGTTGGGGCACCAGAAGACGCCCACGGCGTGGCCGTCGGCTCCCTCGACGGGGAATTCGACGCCGTCAATGTGCTTGAAGCCCTCCCAGATGTATTCTATTAAAAGTTTACCGCATCACGTTAGTCGTACTCTTTTCTCTCGTGTACACTCTCTCCCTCCAAGGGGTGGGTCTACGATATCGCGACTTACGCTGAACATCCCACTGATACGGCGCATAACTCGAGTGAATCGGCGTCGATCCGCCATACGCAGCCTCGGCATCGTGCGTCATGCCGTACTGCTCCGCCATCTCCTCCGACGGCGGATGGAACGTCACGCTCTTTTGGAAGTAGGGCAGGATATTGTCCCACCCCCAGTGCTCGGCGAACGCGTCCGACCACTCGCCGGCAGCACGTACCCAAATGTCGTAGTCCTCGGCGGACCCGCGGTCGAAAAACATGCCGTTGACGGCGGAGCTGCCACCGACGACGGCGCCGGCCATGGCGGCCTTGCGGCCGTCGGCGAGTCCCGGCTGGGGCACGGATGTGATGTTATAATAGCGCGTGGCGGAGGGGTACTGGTCGCGGCGGGAGCCCGGCCCCACGGTGGTGATGGAGGTGGAGGAGTCGAGGTAGCCGTACTCGATGCACAAAACGGTGTCTGCGGCCATTCCTATTAGCTTGTACTTTCTCCGAGGGCAAAGAATGGCCCTTCTCCCTTTCCCTGTAATTCACTAAGAACCCAGCAAAAACAGGAAAGGGGGCAAAAGAGGCGACCAAAAGGGATAGAGGCTGGATAAAACAAGCAGGCATGATTCTTCACTAACATTTGCCCTCCTCGCTCAACCTATCAGCCACCGTCAAGCCCGCCGTACCGGCGCCAACGACGATGAAGTCGTACTCGTCGTGCAGCTCCTCCTGTCGTTTAACCAGGGCCCCGCGGGCGTGAGCCGGACGGGCGAGCGCGGTGCCAAACAAGGTGAGGGAGATCAAGGCGCGGACAAGGATGCCGCGGGGGCTCGACATCTTGGAGCCACAGGGAGCCATTCTTCTCGTGGCAATTGCCGTTATCCTCTTTTTTCGTTTTTCTCACTCTCACTTTGCTGATCTCTCCTGTTATTCTCGCACTTTCCGCCCTAGACTTATAAAGGGGGACGGCAAAAGGGATCTGATCAACACAAAGCCAACTCGCAAAGCCGGGAATCAGGAGGGCACCAGGTTCTCAAGAAAAGCAAAAAGGCAATAAATCCCACTCCTCCCTTCTCCCTTGGAAGTCATGGGTGAATTGGGATCAAAGCTCTTATACCTCATCTCCCACAAGCCGGCGTCCTCCTGTCCTCTCTCTCCCTCTCTAGAAGCGGGGTTCATAAGCAACACCGCCTCAGATGGGAGCATGATGGGGTGGGAGATGCAATTGATTAGATTAAAACCCAGAAAAGGCAAGCAGGAATAAGAAGGAGAATAAGATGAATCGAAACGAAAAAAAGGTACCCTAATTCCCGGTCAGCAAAGAGGGTGGTCCGTCTGACATGTCCCCTCGATTGCAAGAGTGTGGGTTTCCGCGATGGTGCCTGAATTGGCTTCAAATGGCCAAGACTCAAGCGTGTGTGTGTGACGAGAGCTCGCAGACAGCTCCGCCTATGAAACGACCTGCCAGGAGAGTTCTCGAGCAATAGAATGGGGCCAGGATAAATTAATCGACGATTCCATCTCCGGGGAGGCTTAAAGACAACCATGCGGCAGTTGCCTTGACCTCACGCTTTCCCGTCCTAAAAGGTAAAATCTTGATTTTCTTTTCCTTTTTTCCTTCTTCTCCCGCTCGTATTCCCCGAACCTCGACTTCGCCCGTGTTCCCTCGGTGCGTCTTCTCCTCATCATCTTGCCGGCAACCAAGTCCTTTTCTGCCTGTATTCCAAAATTCACCGGGGAACAAGGCATGGGCGGACAAGGAGGGGAGCGATGCGGGGCGGGAGAAGGGCGGACAATTAATATCCTGCTCCGCTATACACCCTCGCATCTATATGGACCTGCAGCATCGTTCGAGCTCTGCGCCCCCCTCCGCACGCCTTTCTGTCCCCGCTTCCCCCTTTCCTCGGATGTAAGCGTAGCCACCGAGTAAGAGAGCTGAGGGAGAAGGTTTAAGGAGAAGAAAAGAAATGAGGAGAAAAAAGGACCAAAACCAATGCACCTTCATGGCTGAGCTTCCACAACCCTGTTTATGCCCTAGCAATCACCTATACGTGCCATCCCCCGAGGCCGAGATACGGGAGGGACCCCGCCGCCGTTGGCCCAAGCTTGCGCCCGAGGGCACTCCGGACGCCGACGAATCCAGTGCACCCTCCCCGACTCCGCTTCGTACGACGCAGATGCAGATTGGGGGCCAAAGCCCATGATCTGCAAGTGGCAGTCTCCCCTCCCGAGCGCCATCGGTGCACGCCATGCGTTCAAGTCCAACGCCACTCCCCGAGTGACAAGTGACGTCTAAGCCCTCGAAAAGGACAAGTGAATTAAGAAATATGTAGAAATTTCGTATTGAAAGTAAACACTTTTGGTATTCCATCCATTAACCCTGTATTCTATCCATTGATCTCGTCAATCGAGATTCTATACATTGGCTTGCGAGCAAGAAATGGCCTAGGGGCCCAGTCGTAACCAGAATGCAAAATGTCATCCTCCCTGCTACCGTCACGCGCGGAGTGGTATAAGCGGCCTATGAGAAACCAGACGAAAGAACAAGAAACAGAGGCGAAAAGAAAGAGCACACACGAGGCGCCTTGAGAAAAAGGAAAAACAAAAACAAAAACACAAAGGTGTCGAAAAGGTCCCAGCTCTTGAAACCTTGACTTAGACAAGACCCCGTTTTCAAAGTTTCCGAGGAAGGGGATTGGGCTTGACCCAATCCCCTCAAAAGGAAAAGGAAAAGGAGAAGAGAAAAAGGAGAGCAAAAGCCCGAAATAAAGAGACAAAAAGCAGAATTCCGAACCCAGTTCATCAGAGCGTAGAGAAAGAAGGGGGTGTGGGCGGGAGGGCGGGAGGGCGATTGATATAAGAGAAAGACGCGGAAAAAAACAGACGAAACAAACACGCAACGGACGGAGGCGCAAATGGCTTACGCCCACTTTCCGAGCAAGCTCATGAGCGCCATGCCGGCAATCAAGCCAAACAGGCCCATGGTTGTCGTAAAAGCCGACGCCTCCGCCATCTCGCCGCCCATCCAATCCGCGGCCCACATTTCCACAACACCAACCCAGACGAGGATACCGGCCGAAAAGGCATCCAGCGTGCCAATAGCAATTACCGTCGCCGGATCGTTTCCGTTAAATACCGACAGCGCACCGGTACCAATGGCCATGCCGATGGGAGTGACCAGGGCGAAGCAGGTCGCCAGAATCATCTTTTGCGACATGGGGAAGTTTGACTTTCCAGCTGCCGCCTCAGGCTCCTCGCGGTTAACGGCAGAACCGTTCAGCGATGGCGTAGCCTCTCCTCCTGCCGCCTTGGAGAGGGAGTCGCTTGTCTGCTCGGGGTTGTGCGAGTGGTGATGGTGATGACCCGGACCGTGCTGGTGCTCCGAGTGATGTCCGAGCCCGGCGAGGGCGTAGTGCTTGTTGGTGCCGAGGGCGGCAATTCGGGAACCGAGCGCGAGGCCCTCGAAGAATTGGTGGAAGACGATGACGATGAAAAGGGTGAGGAAGAAGGAGTCGCCAGAGACAACGAGGGTGACACCAATGACTAGTGACAGGTTAGTCACAATTCAAGACATGGAAAGCAAGGGCAGTCAGTAGGCCTTACTCAGGGAATGGAAGATGATGCCCGCCTCCATCACAGTGATGTTGACCAATTCAAGCGAGGCATTGTGCTTCTCGATCGAGTATCCTTCGGGGCTGCCGTTAATCATCTTCTTGTTGAGACGAGATCGCATGAATCGCTCGCCAAAGTACTCGACGAGGAATGAGATGAAGAGACCCGCCATGAGGATGGCCGCCGCCGTTCCCTCGTATTTGAGCTCGCCCAGGCATTGGTTCTCGAACATCAACGTAGCATGTACAAATAGCTGTCGGAAAGAGGAGGCTGGGGTCAGTACGATAAGAAGAAAACTGATTCGAAAGAGGTTATTGGATACTCACATGAACAAACGCCGTAGAGATGATGATTCCCGTGCCGAATTGCTTCATCGTGATCAAGACAACGTTGAGTTTCGCGGGGAGATACTTGACAAGGAAGATGGGGGCAAAGACACCTGTCAAGTAGAATCAACCCGCAATTAGCTCGTGTCACTAATAATGAATGAAAGGAACCAAGTTGCCTCGAGACGCTTACCAAGAGAGCTAGTCGCGAGGATGGCAAAGATGAGTCCGATTCGTAGGGGCACATTGTAGTCTCGGTCCACCTTGTTACATCTCGATGCTGATGAGCCGGTGGATGAACCATCCGAAGATGCAGATTCGGATTCTCCCGAACTGACACAGTGTCTGGTGCAAGGGAAAAAGAAGAAAAAGAGGGAAAAGGTCAGCAATTCGAAATCTTCTCAAAGTCCAGGAACCAAAGGTTGAAAGCAACACTCACTCTACGCCAGCGTGGAAGTGGCAGTTTTCTCCGGCGGGTTCTTCGCTCTCGCCAGATTCCTCGCCGTCGTGATCGTCGTGCTCGTCATGGCCAGCCTCGCCTTCTTCGGCGGGCAGAGAAACAGCGACGTCGTCGCCATCGGGAGAAAGACAGTACCTATTAAAAATAGAAAACAAGAAGGGATCAGCACATCTACCCAACTCAAACCACTAGGTCATAGAAACTCACAAGTCGCTGCCGTGCGTGTGGCAGCCGGTGTAACTAGCTGGCAGCTCTTCCGTGGCCGTGACTGTGGTGTCGACAACGTACTCTTCCGATCCGACCATACAATATCTAGCATAGACGCGTCAGAATGTTTTGCTTTGAGGCGTTCTTGTGTTGTATCTGCCTCCTCATACCCGGAGGGGAAGGATAGGAAGCGCAAGACTGAGTAAGCCTGGACCCAAAAGGTGCAAGACTCGGAGCCGAAAAAGGGCAGCAGATGGGGAGGGGTAAACATACACTGTGGTGTCATGAAGATGGCAGCCGGTGACGGCGGTAATGGCGGCGCTAGTGGTGGTCGTTGCGGCGTCTTGCCGCGCGACATGGTTGTGTTGTGCGAGTGCTCCGGGACAGAGGAGCAGAAGGCTCAAAAGGCCGGTGATGGGGCCTGAGATCGGCGCCATGGTGCAAGTTGATTAAAGCACGTCAAGAGGATACGGCGTGGCTCCAAAGGGAGGTGGATAGGATCGACGAAGGCGCAAGTGTAAAGACGCCGTGGTGCCTGTGTCTATGTTGAGGCGTTTCTCCGGTGCAGATGACGCAAAGAGCAGACTGGTGCTTAAGGATGTTCCGGGAGGATGGAAGCGCTGCAGGGACGGTAAGATGGGACGATCAGCTTCATTTATCAAGAGAACTCGTGCAGGTGGGAGTATATCGATCCACATACCCTTAGGACCCTTATGGCTCGATTCCCTGTATTGGGGAGATGAAGTGAGGTGCGAGAAGGAAGAGGGGGTGGGCTCAGGGCAAGGGACCAGAGCACCTTGATGGGCAATATTGTGGATTTGAAGGAACGACCTTGGGGGTGAAGGTGGGTGTCCAGAGTCGGAAAAAGCGTGCTAGGTCGTGCTGGGCGTGGGCGGTGGCGGCGGGCGGGAGGGTGGTAGGAAGCTGAGAAGAGAGAGGAGAGGGCGTACTATTACCAAACAAAAGATGGGAACGAGGTTCCAGGGCGCTTCTTCTTTCGCGTATTCTTGCAGGGACCCGGTCGTATGTATTGTGGGAAAGCGGCAAACCGGGCTGCTGGCGCCCTTTTTGGTGACCCTCTTGGTACGCTCTGAGAATATATCACTATTCCCCCTTGTCGGCCGAGAAAGAACCCCCACACGCGCAGAGCTGAAGGGCGGGTCACTTTGCAGAAAAGGGACAGGTCGTTGGGCACGATGGACGTGGTGGTGAAAAGCCTCAGGTTGAGCAGCCCGCAGGGTGTTTTCTTTCCTGTTTTGTTTAATAATGCCCAGAGATGGGATGCCGAAGCCGAAGAGCAAGGGCGAATGGGGGTGGGCTACGACACGAGACTGAACGCGGGAAGCACCTGAGCCCTATGTCAATCAAAAGAGATGATGACCGCGAAGAAAGGTTCAGAATCAATGTCCCGGTGTGGCTGACGTCTAGAAGAAGAGGGGATGCGAGGGAAAAGGAACGAAAGTCGTAGATAAGACCGAGGATTGGCTGGTTGGGAGGATGTGAGGTCCGACACTCGGGATAATATGGCGAGACCTGATCACGGCTGTACCCGATTTAGAACCCTAAAAGCAATAAAAGGAAGACACAACAGCGCGTCCAAAAGAAGAGAGGGTAGAAAAAGGAAGTTCGGTCAAGTGAGCATAGGAGGGCAAGAGGGCAAGAGGGTGAGGGAGAAACCGAGTGAACACTCGAGTCAGGATTAAAGTGAAAGAAAGGAATGCTGTGTCTGCAAAGCTCCAAGTACCAGGTTCCAACTGATCGACGAGAGATCGTGGGAAGAAAGGGCGGGAGGCCGTGGTCTACTGCTAGCTCGGGTACTTCTTTTGCCTTTTCCAGTTTCCCTTTTTATTTTTCTCCGTGCGTGCGGCACCTTCCCTCCAAGGTCTGACGTTCCAGGTTGAGAGATTTCATCGTGGATGGAGGGACGTAGTAATGGCGAGTACCCGGATGGCTCGAAAAAATGGGGGCTATCCTTTACCCTTGGCCCTCGGCCAGCCAAGACGGGCTATCTTGCGCTTGTCCAAGCCCCTCCTGCTTCCTCCCCTCCCACGTTGCTATCACCTTGTCGTGGGGCGCAAGTGTAGAGTGCAATATCTACAAAGTGACCTATGTCATGCCCTCTCTTTTGTCTTTTCTCATTTTTCTAGTTCTCTTCCTCTCTCCTTCCGTATTCTTGCTCTCGATGCTCTCTCGAGACAAGTGATCAATGCTCATCTCAGGATGCGCCATCGCCGCGAGCCAGGGTTGGAGAACATTCCCCTCCGAGTCTCCCCCACTCCAACTGAAGAAAACTGAAGGGGAAAAAAGAGAATAGAAGCGCCCCTCTGGCTAGTCCCGCTGTGGGTCCCTCTCCTCGATATGTATGTAGTTTGAGTATTAGGGATATACAATTCTGTGTGTAGCACGAACAAAGGGAGAAGAGAGAGGGAGAGCGGGAGAGGGATAGAAAGAGAGAGAGAGGCACAGAGGCTGAGAGGGCCAAAATTTGCGTACCGAAAAAGCACCCTGATGGCCCTTTGCGGTTTCTTTTTCCGGTATGGGCATGGGTAGGCATGGGTCTGGATATGGGTATTATGGGGGCGTCATCGTCTTGGGTTGCGATGCATGCTATTGGTCCGCCACGGCCGCTTTTTCTCTTTTTAGCTTTTGTACCTTGGTACCCAAAACGGAACTCCCTCGTGTCCCGCAAGTCCCGATACCCTACAGGCTTGAGTCTCGTTGCCGGTCTTTGTACCTCGACCCCAGACTAGCGCTGAACTGGTACACCGCCGCAGCGGACTAAGCAGATGGGCAGACAGCCCGCGAAAGAAGAAAACACGCTCGACTCCCCTTGCCCTCCCGCACGAGGAATTCCCGCCTCCAGTTGCCCGCGATTACGTACATTTCGAGAGAGATAACATGCTCGCCATCATCCCTACATGTACAATCCGTTCCAGACTCTTGGTCAACTGCTCCTCCTCATGTGTCCGCTTTCCCACCCTCGTGGCCCACACGACGTCGATCGTGTGCTCGCACCGCTCACGCAGACAATCATTTTTGAAAAACCAGAACAAGTAAAATGAGAAAAGGGAAAAAGGGGAAAATAAAGAAACTGAAGACGATGGCAGTCACCACATTCAGTCTGGCCCAGTGTGGTCCGCAAGTGCTTCATCATTAATTTATACACATTCTTTTCCATATTGTTCCCCAAAGTCCAGCAGGCTTGGCGTTCCAGTTTTATCCATTTCCATGTCGCCAATGTTTTTCATATCAAGTTTCTCGGTCTCTCCTTTGAGATCACTCGCTTCTTCTTCCCGATTCCAAATCAGCACTGTAAATCAGGAAGAAGAAATCGAGAGGGAGGCGGTTCCTATTCGTTAGTGCGAGTAGAGAAAAAGGGCCGTATCCGCTCCATTAGTAGCAAACGAATAAACGCCCCAATTACCAAAACGAGCAAGCTTAGTGGCCCCCTCCGTCGCCTTCGAGTCCCGCCCGGTGCGAAACCGATCGGTAGCCCGGCCGCGAGCATTGGTGAAGAAGCGGCGGGAGGCTATGAAAACCCGCGCCAGCGAATCGTTCCACCACTTCTTCGGCAAGAGGGAAAAGGCACGTTTCCTCCACCATGCCCTCGAGCGCCTCTCGGATATAGGTACAACCCCTGGTGCCATGTTACACAGGCGCCGCCTTGCCTGCCCTGTTATCTCTTGCCCTGCCACCCAGCCTTTTTACCCCCTCTTCCCTTCACGGCCCGGCAAGGAGCCCGCCGTGTGAGAGAAAAAAGAAGAAAAAAGAAATAGGGTGCAGTTCCAGTCTCGAGGCGTTGCACAAGGCGCGTTGCGAAACCCCTTTAGCGAAGCGTCGTGCGTACCTAACTACCAGGAGAGGGAAATGACTGGTGCCGCCCCAAGACGGGGCCAAAACTCGGTCGCTGGACCCCCGATACAAGAAGGGGAAAAAGAAATGTCGTGTACGCCTTGTGAAGGATTGGTCCTCTTTATCTGGTCCCTTACATCGCTCGGCCGACATTTCCACGCCTATCAATAGATGCTTGCACTTCACGGCCCTAGAGAACTCATGCAATAGCCCGAGAAAACAACAAGAGCTGAGCGTGTTACTTCCATCCCGCCGTACTGTAAGAACCACCTCATGAATGGCGAGTGCAACCGTTCTTAAGATTCCCTTTGCTTTTTCTCCTAGTGAAATCTACGGATCTGTTTCCCTGGCCGGGGGTTGCTTCGGAGCAGTCGATCCGTGAGAACGTGTGCATCATAAAGTCCATAGTGCTACCGCAGCCCTCGACGTTATCCTCTCTATTCCTAAGGAGTATACTTTCTAAAGAAGAAAAAGGTTCATAGCGCCCGTCTGGCCTTTCACTCGAGAGATTCCAATGGATCTATGGATAAATGTTTACGGAGTGTCAACTCCTACCTCTCATCTATATATAGGTAGATGTGGGCCTTCTTCCAGGGCAGCAACGGCATCCATGTCGCTCTGCTTTGTGCCTTTCCCCCATTGTTCGCACCAATCCATCCGTTCCCGTTACACAGCTCTCGTGAAAGCGCTGCCGCAACGTCACTTCACCATCCAAGACATAAGACATGGTAGCGCTTGCACGTTTCAGAGTCAACATGGAACCTCCATTTTGGCAGCAGGTGGGGGTAAGCTACCATCTCGCGCCATGACGCTTACTTCGGCTGCTGCCGCCCTAGATCTCGCCTGACTCTCCATGTTCCCCCGCCGACCTGCCGCCTCCTTGTCCCATCCACTCCCTCCACCCAGGGTCTGCCGCCGACTCCACCCGTGACGACCCCACCATCCTCTCCGCTCTCCTCGGCGGCCACGTCGTCTTCCACCTCATTGGTACCATCGTACAGATCCTCCGTATACGCCCAAGTCGGCGCATCAAGCTGCCCATGGACAAACACAATGTGCCTGCCGTTCTGCCGGACCTGCTCGATTGTCGTGCGTGGGATGGGTGTCAGGACCTGAAGCGCGGAGCTGTTGGTGTCGATGCCGCGGATGAGGACCAGTCCGAGTGTGTGAGAATAGCGAGGGTCTAGCGTGCTGCCCTCCACCTGATGGATATACGGTATGCCTTCCGGCGTAGCGCGAACCAACGTGTTAATATGCCCCAAGATCTTGTCACTCCCCGGCGCGTCGAGGTCCATTGCAATATCCTGCTCGGAAACGGAATTTTGGCCTTTAAAGGCCCTCTCATCCTCAATCTCCACGGCAGCAAGCACCATCCCGTTGATAGCTTGGGCTAACAAGGTAGATTCCAGTTGGGCACCATAGCACAAAATCCCCGCGATGCCTCGGTTCTTGCCGGCGTAAGAGACCCGCCAAGGCGCTTTGGCGGATAGCGGCAAGGTGTCGACAGATAAGCGCTGGTGGGGCGAGTCCTTCTTTACAGAATGAAAATACGCCATGGTCTGCATCGCCCGGAGGTGAGCCGCCGACCTTCGCGCGCTGGGGTCGGACTGTTGCGATGGCAGCGTAGTAAAGGAGGCGGATCTACACGCCGACTCAAGACCCTCAACGGTTTCCGTGGGGCCATCTTCTGACATGTAAACAACCTCTGCTGGCTTTATGCTGTTAATGAGGAGTGACAGTAAATCAAGACCCGTGCCAAGGATCCATCCCGGGGTATTAACGACCAGGGGGTATCCATTGTATCTCTGCTTATAATGGTTGTAAAGATCTAGAGCGCTTTCCATGAACAGGTCCGTATCTGATCCCGGATTTACTGAAGCCAGGACATGGCAGCGAATTAACGTCGCCGAAGTGTCATCCGGCCAGGGGTGGGCAAAAGGAGGCGCCAGGTTGGGTTTCTGAACGAGAACTAACGAGAGCGTTCCCGGCGGACAGAACTCGGACTGGCCCGGGTCAACATCCAAGATGATGACCCCATTCATACGTGCAGACGATCGAGTGCGGCCACTTGTAGAACCGGTCTGTGAGGTTAAAAGGCGGTTTGTCAGGAGGCGCGCAAAAGTAGATTTCCCGGCGCCTTTCGGACCACAGATGAAGCATGACATGGACTTGGAATCATTTGTAGAAATCTCTGCTAGTTTCTTATTCCACTCTGGGGGCGAGTAGAGGCCCCGTAGAACCGACCGCTTAGGGAGATCCTCAGGTCCACAAACCTGTCATAGTTAGCCCAGTTCATCCATTTCTTTCAAGGAAACCGAAACCGGGGGTAGGAGAGACTCAGACTTACAATTCGGAATGAAGAGCCTCCAGACACACTATTAGGCTGCGTACGATTCCATATCGCCCGGTAGAAAGGCGATAAGCGACCAAGTTTTCTGAAGCCGCTCGACGAGGGGTGAGGGTGCAGCTCTACGACTGAAGACTCGACACATCGAAGAACAGGTACGGAATAGCAAAGGGGAGCCTGGACCCAGGTCACATCGGACGATGGACGTAATGTAGCACCGGCAATGAGGGCCTCTCCGCGAAGGATCCGAATGCCATATTGGCCAATAATGGGCACTTTGAGACGCTGTGGCTTTATTAGGTACGATATACCAACGGCGTTTTCAGCGTGATAAAAGATATCTTACCTCGTGTGAATCGATCCGTAGCTCGAGAATGCCATTTTCCTTTTGAGTGCAGCAGTTCTGGAGGGTAAGCCGGAGGGCGGATGCATCAATCAAGTGGTCCGCGGTTGGGCCATGTGACGTGGTATCGGCGCCGGGAGTCTCGATCTTTCCATCGACCTCTAAGTCCATATCCGCCCCGCGGGATGGCTCGGTGGTGGCGGCAGTGTGTCCGATGTCTCGCAACGGAGGGGTTCTCGAGCGGCTCGGTAAGCTTTTCTTTTGGGTTTGCTTAACCGCCGCCTGATCAGCTTCAGACTCAGACACGCTGGTAGCAGCTGACTTTTCCTTGGATGCAACGCGCCGGCGTTTCCTTTGACTAGGAGTAGACTCCCCTTGGGGGCTTCATCACCACTCTGAATCCCTCGAGCTGCGGGCGTGGTGCGCCTCTTGGGCTCCGTCCCGCTGGACCCTAGACCGACCGAGGGTGGCGCTGCAGCCTGGTCGCTTTTGGTGTCACCTTCTGAATTAGTCTTATACCTCGCGAGGAGCTTCTGGCGAGCGGCGAAGGCGCTCATGACGGGCTCCCCAGTCATAGAGATGTGAAGGTGTCTAATTTTTCGGCGTCCGACCTCGTACTCAAGGACGTAACCGCCGTTACTAAACTCACTCAGAGAAAGAGCGAGTTGATTTTGTAAAGGGTCGACAGGGACTAATTAGACGGGACGGTTCGGTTGTGAAGAGGAAGGTGCAAAGGTGAAGCGGCGCTGAAGACTTTTTCATCTTTTTTTTTTTATCCAACAAAGGAAGCTCCTACCACAGTCGTCCTGATCTCTGTCTCTTTCTACTTCGGTCGTCTTCGCACTTCACTCTAAAATTTCTTCTGGTTCCCTACATCATTTCAAGTCTCACAGTTTCATCGCGCTACCATCAATATTTCCGTCCCCCTTTCTCTGATAATTTTTTTCTTTTTCGTTCAACATCATCAACTTGAGCCGACCCTGAACAGCTCGTCAGCGCAAGTCAGAGCCGATGCAAGGGTGAAGCCCACTGATCGTAGCGTTCTGTTAGACTAACCCCTTCCCCACCTTCCTACTTCGGGCATCATACCCCTTGATGATTTGGATGGCTAACAACGGCTTGATCACTGGAACAGTATTAAGCACGCGCATCACGAAAGATTTGAGAAGCAGTAGTCAATTCCAACTTCAAACATCCAGAGGGATCACCCACTCCGAGAGAGTTTATCTCGGACATTGAAGAATATATCGTGAGAGGCAAATGCAACGGTTCCAACCTTTATCGACTGGCAGCTCTTCGTTGATATAACTACCCCGACCGTGCTTAAAGCATCCCACTTCCGTCGGCAGAAGGTCGGCTAATACTTTCACGCAGAGGGCAGCTCCGCTGAAAAAAAATGGTTACCAACAGCGATTATCGTGGGCCACGAGCAAGAAGTTGCAGCCGCCCACCTGAAGATCGCAACAACAACCGTGAGCCACGGTCCAATTCCGGTTCCCAGCCTGTCAATTCGAACGGCGCAAGGCGGAGGTCTGTTTCGCGCCCACCAGAGACTGCTCTCTTTTCGCAGCTGTGGCCTCTCTCTCAGAGAGACCACCCCGCAACTCCTTCTCCGTCGCCTTACAACCTGCCTCCGGATCGTCTCCTCTCCACACCTACCCTCCATCGCCCAAGATCTACAGAGCAGCCAAGGTCTATTTTGAAACATTCCGTGGGGCTTTCATCCTCATCGACCGCCTGCGGTCCTACTCAGCCACATAGAGTCCCGTCTACCACGAAGCTAGTTTACGATTCATCTCGATACGGCACTGAGTGCACCCCAACCAAAGCAGCGTCGAAGCCTCAGGACATCGCTAAGGGTCGCCCCTAGCTACTCCAGTAAAGGATTGGAGCGAAAAATGCCGAGCCGAGTTGCCCGCGCCGATGCGCCCGCTTCCAGGACCGCTACAGATATCTACAATCTCCCTAGCGAGGAAACAAAAGCAAGACAATCGAAAGCTCAGGGAAAAGTGAAGAAAGCACTCTCTGTGAGCGAAGAAGAGGATGAGGACTCGACAACTACCTCCTCGGAGGAAGAGTCTTCAAGTGAAGAAGAGAGCAGCAGTGACGAGGAAAAGGCCGTGAACAAGTCGAAAAAAGCTCCTTCTCAGGTTACGAAACCCCAGACACAGACAGCCAGCTCTAGCTCCGACTCGGAAAGCTCAGATTCTGAGGAATCGAGCGAGTCGGATTCTGAATCTGAGCAGGAGGCAGTAAACAATGTAGAGGGCAACGCCAAAGCGTCCAGCAGCTCTGATGCCGACTCTAGTGATGATGAGTCTGATTCGGAGCCTAGCACCCAGGCAAAGGCCAGCTCCTCCATCGTTTCGAAGGTCTCAAGGAAACCTGAAATGACAACACATACCCTCAACGAGCCCACCCCTACCGTAATTGAGGGCGTCTTCAAGCTCCAACAACCGAAGAGCCTAGGTCAGATCGCCCGCGTATTTGAGTCCGCTGAAAGAGAAGGGAGCAAGCTCTGGGTCCTCACACATTCATCATCAACCCCGCTCAACCTTGAGATCCAGAAGGTTGTGCCGGCTGCGGGTCCTTATGCGAGTGCTATTGTGTCATCCGATGCCAAGATCACGGTGCCCCGTTTGAAGGATGGCGATAGCTATCACTTGATCTGTAAGTTAATCTATCAGGCCATCCTCGATAATGTACATTCACTAATCTTAGTCCATTATGTAGCTAGTTGCCAAAGCATTAACATCATCCAGACCGCCGATGACGGTGCGGGCGCTTCGTTTGAGACCCTGACGCCCCTGAGGGTGCCAAGGTTCCCAAAGCCGCCCCAAGGCAGCCTGTGGGTCTGCGGTCTAGATTTCAACCCATTGGCTTCGAGCCTAAGGCTTTGACTGAACTCGAGCGGAACTTGCTCCCGCCATCTCTCAAAAGGCTTCCAAGAAGGACAAGAAGCAAAAGAAGGACAAGCAAGAGAGGGCTGTGGACTCGGACCAACAAAAGCAACTAGCTGAGCGACCCAAGAAGAAGCGCAAGGGCACTAGCCCCGCGCCCGAAACGGAAATTACTGCGTCTAGCCAGCCTACTCAACCCCAGTCCGCTAACGAAGAGATTGAAGCGCTGAGGACCAGGCTTGCTCTACTCGAGCAGCAAAAAACTAGTGAAGGTACCGGCGATAAGAAGAGCAAGAAGGAAAAGAAGGAAAAGAAGGAGAAGAAGGAGAAGAAGAGCAAGAAAGAGGCCAAACTGGATCCAGAGAATGCCGATGCGGCACCGAAGGAAACTCCGAGGTCGAAGAACAAGGTCAAGTTCGCAGACGACCAAGATCATGCGCGCCTCTCGCAAACCCCTGTGCCACTGCCCCAAATACCAGGTTCTGCCAAGGCTGAGTCTAATGCTAAGAATGCGAAGCGGCGTCGGTCTACGGATTCTAGCGAATCTAGCGAGGTTAAGAAGAAGCGCTCCAAATCCATCTCTGAGTCCCCTGCTCCGTCTACTCAAGAGACCGCAGGGAGCCTAAAAAGGTCACCCCCGTCCCAACTCCCGTTATCCCCGGAATGCCTTAGGGAGCAGGCCGCTGGCACCGGAGTAGGTGAACCCAGCAAAGGCTGGAATACCCTTTTTTTCACCCGGCCTACGTCGCTCGTGACTGATGAAATCGCACACTCACGTTCGTTAGAACACGCCTTTCTTGGTTGCCTAACACTTGTGGGAACCTTGAGCCGCCGGCTTTATCTCTGAAAGTGCCTCTCGCCTCGTTTCCCTTCTTTTCCATACATTTATTGGCCCCACCCCAAACCTCGCCATGCCAGATCAAAAACGAAAACAAAAAGAAAAAAAGAAGGAAACGAAAAGCTGTAGAAGTTTTAGCTTGCTACAGCTCGGACATGGTTTGACACATACAAGCAGCGCAGAGGAAGGGGTGGCGGAGGTGTGGTTGGAGATCCTCCGTATGACAGCATTTCCCTTTCCCTCTACTAGACTGATGAGACCTAGTAGTTTTCCGGGTTGGTGTACTTTGGGGAGTTTGTTCTTTTCCATTTCCATTTTTTCCTTTTAACAGGCATTACCCTGCCATCCTTCCTGTCGACATGTTCGTGGCCATGTTGCGATGCGTTGATAAGTGTTGGCTTGGGCGTTTCGTCGTCCCTTTCATGTTTCCGTCTCGTTGTTTTGAAAGGTTCTGGTGTTTGGACCTCAGGGTAGATGATTGATGGTGGGCATACCTCGTAGAGAGCTTCTTGCGGAGCCCAGCTAGAAGAGACAAGTAAACAAATAAAAACAAATAAAACTACAAACCACTCGAAGGGGGCTGTGTGCGCCCATTCATACGCAAAACGTTGTATGGAGACAATATCAAGGTCGTCAAATGTGGCGGATGCCAAGTGGAAGAACGCGGGACAGTCATGTGTGGGTGGAATGGTGGAATCCATGGATGTACGATGTACATATGCAATTGACTGAGGTGAGACGATGTATTCTGTTTCTTCATGTATCATTGTTTGTTATCCACCGTCTAGCGAGTGTCTGTTCCCCTTTCCTCTCTCTGCCTCAGCTCTCCTTCTACTACAGCCGGCTCATCACCGCTATTAACAGGCCAGTCCAGACGTATATCTCCATGTCATTAAGTGTATTCGGCTCCTTCCTGTCGCCGCCCAATGGATCAGATCCCCGCTAGGTTAACCTCGTAGGTATGCGTAGATACCAAAAGGTGTTTACCCTCTTGGTCCCACCAACCCAAGGAATCCGGTTCCACGGCCCCCTTCAAGGCGGAGGACGTCGCGGGGTCCTGTTCCACCGATTCCGCCGTTGCCCGATCTAGTGTGCAATTGTTCCTCCATTCCCGAGAAGGTTGTAAGTTATAAACATTATTGAACCCGTTGGCGCCCCGTGGAGGGCGCCAAAAGCTAGGGTCCGGGGTTGTAAAAACAAAGAAAAAGGATATTAAAAATTAACGTGGGAATGGCGGGAGGTAGATCGGGACAAAGGTCAGATCGTGGTACCGCCGTCGAACATGACGAACACTCGCGGAAAGCAGATTGGATCATCATAAGCCGTAGCCTCGTTTGAAGACGGGCAAGTTGAAGGGACTCGAGTCCTTCGAGCCTTGGCTTTTGCTGTTTTGCGACATTGTCGTGCGCCGCGCCTAATTGGGATCGACCGGTTGTTCCTCCATAAACATCTGAACCACCAACACAAGCCCAGCCAGAAAACCAAAACACCCCGCGTTATCTGCTCTTTCCCAACACGCCGTTTCCAAAAGATTGCCCGGTTTCCATATTCGCTATGCTCATGCAATAGTGGAAGAAAAAGAAAAAAATAAAAGGGGTAAAATGCTCAACAACATGAAATATGCCGAACGAGGTATAAGTAATATGCTTCATGAACAGATAATGTCCATAAAGGCTTCTCTTCGTAAACGGAAGAATTGAAAAAAGATGCGTCGAAAAAAATGTGGGTAGCGAGCGTATAAAGGGGTATCATGCGTCTACCCAGTGAGGACGTTGTGCACAGAGATGTCATGATCCCTGTATCACAAAAAAGGAAAAAAATTACAGAAAAGTGACAGAGGCCCCCTTCTCGTAAGCCCATTATTCAAGGCGGCGGTGAGGGGGCCCGAGTCGATTTCCGAGTCGACCAGAAAGATGCTGCAGATCGACACGAGGGAAAGAATCGAAATACTCGTTTCGCCGTCGTCGTATTACGGCTTAGGCGGCAACGGTGATTTGCCTCAGGCCATTATCCGTGACTCTCGTCGTTGCGTCCCAGGTATGCTGATCAGGGATGTCCATTCCCAGCACATCTCGGCGGAAACTGAGGCTCTCTTCGGAAAGCGTGGGGCTGAGCGTTCCACTACCGCTCGCGAAGCTGCTGGAGCTACTACCAACGGTCCACTCATCGTCGCTGGGGGTGGCGGTCGATAAACCCGAGCGCGTACGAGCCAAACTCCTCGTCAAAGATAGACTTGCGGTCGCCGTATTCGACATACTCGTAGTCCCAACGAGTGGACTTGTCAGGCTGGGGCCTGGGCATCCAGTACGCCTTGGTGATGTAGAAGTAGGCAGCTGCAATCAAGGCGCCTCCAACCAGGTCAACTGCGTAGTGGTGGCTTAGGTACATGGTTGCCCACCAGATCCACACCACGTAAGCGCCAAAGAGAGGCCGGAACCGGGGAAGCAGTAGCTGAGGAAGAGAGCCTCGATGACGGCATTACCGGAGTGAAGCGATGGGAAGGCGCCAAAGGGAACGGGCGCGGTGGAGAAGGCGGTCGTGTACATGTCTACGCCGAAGATCTTATCGATGCGGGCGAGACCGGCAGGAGAACCGGGCATGCCATATGCCGCAGGAGAGAGGCCATGCTCATTTTCGTACCACGGCGGGGTGCAGGGGAAAAGAAGCTGGATAGTGACACCAGTGATGTTCATCCAGCCAAAGGCCTTGGCAAAGGAGGGACCGCTCCCAGGGGCACCAAAGATGAAGAGAACACCCACGACCACAGCAGGGAGGGTGAAGTGGAGAATACCGTAGGGAATCCAGGCAATAAGATCAAGCATAGAGTTGGTATGCGCGGAAAGGATGTTGGAAAGGTTGGCTCCATAGAGGACATTCTCCAAAGCGGGGAGAACACGAACCCAGATGTGAGGGCGGATTTCGGTGGGAATAAATCTGAAAGGTTTCGACAAAACCACTGTTAGAAAATGCTGCTTTGAAAGGTCCACGGGGTTCGCAACTTACCGGCTACAGAAGAAATACACGAGGTAGACCCAGATGGGAAGGCCAGGGAAGAAAAACTGGCTTGTGATGGGCATGAGAATGAGGAGCGTGCCACCAACCAAGGCAAGGAGCTTGAGGAATGCAGGCGCGGGGGCCATGATTAAGGATGAAATTCCAACAAAGGCAAGGACGACATATTGAAGGTCGTGGAGTGTCCACTTGTGTCGTTGAACGGCGCGGATAGTCTCGAGGACATTGAACGAAGACTTGAGGCGGGTAATTTCATCAGCGCGCGAGTAGAATCGCTGCCTCGATCGTATCCGGCGGCGATACCGATGGGGAATGGGGTTCAGTTTGGCCAGGTTAAGAGTGGCAGGCACAGTAAAGGGGAGAAGCTTCGGCTTCGTAAACAGCGAGGCCATGTCTTGCATCGTGCGAACGTTGTAGCTCGAGAGGTGGGAGGAAATTATGACGGGTGGCCGGAGCCAAATCGTTGTCGCCTAAATCGTATCGTCGGGAGCAACACCCACAGCAGCGATGGAACAGAAAACAATATCCACAATTAAATCGAATCCGCCACTATGTTTTGTTCGTAAACGTCTGATCGTAGCCAATTCGTGCGACGGACGAGAGTCGACAAGCGTTGAGGGGACGAATTAGGGGTTCGTCTGCTCTCCACAGGACCGGGGGATACGAAGTTATTGCAATGGAAATCGCAAGGGTAGAGCGAGCACGCGAGCAACAAAGGTAATCGCTAAGACGGGTAGCCGATAGGTGCGATGTGATGAGGAATCTTGTCGTGCGTCGAAAAGGTGTCGCTTAGGGCGGTTGGTAAGGCCATCAACGTACGTCAGTCGCCTAGAAAATGGTCGGCCGGGTGGGGAGGCGATTTCAAGGTTTGATGGGCTCGATTGGCAAGAGGAAGAAGGGAGGAAGCTGGAAGTACAAGCCGGGCGAAGGACTCTCTCCCAATTCTCTTTCTCGTTGCCGTGGGAGGGTGGTGGAGATGTCTGATCAGGGAAGAAAAAGGGACGGAAGTCAAGATCGGAGAGGAGGGGGCGCGGAGGGAAGAGATAATAAGGAAGGGGAGGTGTGGAAACATAAGGAAAGCAGAAGGGAAGAGTGAAGACGGGACCACAGGGAATTGGCGTGACCCGTGACGATGGTGGGGATGAGGTAAAAATTCAATGGGAAAGTGCTTTGCAGCGCAAAAGTCTTGGCTTGGATTTGGGGCGATGGGGCACGGAACAGGGAGGCGCTAGGGCCTAGACGAAGGACCACCTGGGAGATCATTTGGGAGACGGAGCGACCGGGGTGTTTTGTCGGGCGAGCAAATCAATTCAGAATGTCCAAGTCCCGTCCTACCCGGGCAGGCCCTGGCCGGGAAACTGCAAGTACACCTGCTCCACTACGACGTCGAGAAAAGAGAAAAGAAAAAGAAAAAGAAAAAGAAAAAAAAAAAAAAAAGAGAAAAGGTACTTCGAGCTTGTACCCATCCAAACTACTTCGTCGTCCTGCGGTGTAAGCGCCGGTTCACCATGACATTTTTGTCTGGGCTTTGCTTCTCCTGCTTCGCCTGTCGCAAAATCTGTGTCAATTTGAGATGAGCCAGACACCCACCGCGACGGATTTTACTAGACAAGTTTACGACCGCACGCGTCGCGCGCGCGTGCGAGCGCAGACATATTCATTCCATTCCCTCATTGATATGTAGTTGAACATGTAAAAATGTCGGGGATATGCCTATCATTCAGAGAATGTGGCCAAGCGCGAAAGCCACATTGCGTCGAGCATCTCTCGCTTCACGACATAGCCATGTTGGAAACGAGGCTGAGGAATTCGTACGACATGCTTCGTTTTCCTCGGGTTCGTCAGATCGGTTCTTTTCCCGGGACGCCTGGTCCCCTGGCCCCTACTCTCAACCCCTGTGCCTGGACTAACATTCGACACTCTTGTAATTGATCTTACATGCAGGATACGCGTATAGGAGTTAAAGTGTGGGCGACACCACCCGAAGGTAACTTCATAAAATCAAATTTTCGGCTCCGTTAGAAACCAACAAATTTCTTGCCCATCCCCCTCCTAAGCTCAGGGGAGCCACCCTATCTCCGAGGACCATGATCCCCGAAAGGGCCGGTCTGAGTGACTCCTCCGGGTCAAGTGGGGGAGAGTTGACGATGAAGGGAAATATAGCGCGGGAGACAAGTAAAATCCGAGTCAAACGAAGAAAGCGAAGAAAATCCGGCGGCATCCTTCTTTTTGGCAGTGGATTGGGCAGCAGCATGTCAGTCAAGAGGTGGGGCCCAGCTCGCGAAAAGAGGTGGATGGAGCGCCGTGGGAACACGGAAGCTTCGGAGTTCTAAACTTCCCCGAGCGCGATTGGTTGGCGCAGGGGAAAAAAAAGAAAAAGAAAAAATACTTTGTCGCCGACATGGGAGTCGGCTAACGAGGGTGATACATGGTAGGTTCCTTGGTGACCCAGCGTGTGGAGTCACGCTTAGCTAAAATAGGGAAAGCACGAGAGGCCGCCCGAGGTGTCCCGCCAAGTATTAGTTCATGCTGGGTCAACGACAAGAAAGCGACTGAGGACTGTCAGCACTCGATCCATTCCCGCCCCGTTTCGACCCTGACGGCATTCACTGTATTAGTGTGCACTCCCCCAAAAGCCCAACACGCGTAAACTTGAAGCCAGGGAAGGGAGTGCACGGCGCTAGCAGAAACGCGGAACAGCGCAGTTTAAATTAGAGAGCCGGAGGAAGGAGCACAAAGTGGGATCAGACAGGAAATGGTGACGTGATGCGATGAAAAGGCCAACGCCTATTATTACTATTACTATTTGATTTCCAATCGAAAAGCCGAAAACGCCAAGGCCACCCCCATTTGAAATCGGACAGCGAGGCTCCCGTGTCAAATCGGAGAAGCAGCGGAGGGTGAATAATAACTCGAAGGATCAATTTGCGAAAAAAGAATTGAATGGATGCGAAAAATAAAATGGCGGGCAGTTTGGAGCGTGCCGCCCCGCGTGTTTTTCCACGGAAACGCTCGAGTACAGGGGTGGCTAGCCTTCAAGGGGAACAACATCAGAGCAGCGAAGGGAGGATGGGATGCTCCAAAATGAAACAATGAAGATCTGGGGCAAGACAAACCCAGCTGTACCATGGGACTACTTCAGAAGAGGCCATGGCTCATGGGGTCCTGAGGAGAAGCAGAGTCGGGTCAATTTAATACTGATTGATACTCCTTTTTCTCAAGAGAAGAGAGAAAAACCACCGTCTACGCTCTTTTCCCTCATGCCTCGTGGCATCGATATCTCTCTGTGAGGCTAATGAGATCCGGACAGAACGAGACAGTGGAACAGGGAAAGAAGAAGAAGAAGAAGAAGAAGAAGAAGAAGAAAACCGACAAGAAAAAAAAAGAAGGAGAAAAAAAGAAGAAGACAACGAAGAGAAGTTGAAAGAAAAGCAAAAGGTAACAGGCGATTGCAAAAAGGGGTGCAGAAGGTGAAACAAACAGACATCAGGCACCATTCTGACATCAATCTGTCAAATATCCCATCATTGCAGGGACTTATTACCCATTTCACCGGAACAAAACCCATCAAGGTCACATTCTTATCTGCTTGGCTTCAATATCATCTATCCCCATCTTCAGTCTTTTCCATTCCCTCGGATCCTGACTCTGATTCCACCAAGATCGCTCCTCCACCACTCAGGGAGCCTTCTCCAAGCTATCCGTGGATCCTAGCAAATAAACGTCCGTTCCACGATACTAGCAAAAGAGGGCAGATTGAAATTGCAGGCAAGCGGCCGATCCAGTCGGCCTCTTTCTTGGCATTCTTACAGGGCCATTTTTCTTCTTACTTCTTTTCTTCGCTTTTAATTATACTAGTAATACAACAGAAGTCTGCGCGCAGCTCAAGCCAAACGTTTTTCTTTGCGAAGCGGGCTTGGCAACAAACCCTGCACCAGGCGCTTACCATAGACAGGCCAGGTACACGATACATGTTATTACGTGTATTCATGTATTGATAATATTGTACTCGATACTTCTCCGGATGTCACGGATAGGCAGACAAAGCGATGAAAGAGCGATGGTCACGCCAAGACCCCACACCCAAGTCGGCCGCCCTGGACCTGCGAGTATTCCGCTCGAAGAGCCCAGACCGTTCAATCCGCTGGCTTGGGAGTTGACGGCGGTCTTTTGGTGATTTGAATGGCTGGGGTTTCTCTCGGAGGTTCAGACGAGTAAAATTGCCAACATCCATACCTCGCGACAGCTCAGCGATGATCGTCACGAATCACTGGCGCTGGTGTTGTACAAGTACCTTGTATTATTAGACGCTCACTCACGCGACTCCTGCAAAAGTTTGAAAAAAACGTCTGCATCGCATATCAGAGCCTTTTGCGGGGCCTTGCCGACAAAGAAGGGGGGAAAAAGTCCATCAAATGTAAATTGGCGGCCCAAGGTGGAGGGGGGCCTTGAACCAAGTCGCGTGCCTCTGTTGCCGAATCTTCGCACAGCAAGGCAGCTGGAGCACCTCATTTTATTCCTCCCCCAGTGCCAGTGCGGTGCCACCCGTCGTTCCCTCCCCTCAGGGCGCAGATGGCGCGGGGCGGCGAATTTCAACTGGCTGGCCCACCACTGGCTCTGCCCAGCGAGGTTGGGGGAGAAGGGGGCATGGGCAAGCCACCACACTTGCGCAAAGAACTGCACGGTCGCGTGGTAGGCTCCTCTCGCGTGCGAGGTGAACGCAGCGGCTTGGACCTTGCCAGTGCTGTCTCAAGCATGTTCACATGAGCCCGCATTCAATCGATGCTAGCTCGAGAAAGCAAGCTACATGTAAGAATAAGAAAAAGAAAAAGAAGAAGAAAAAGAAGAGCCCACAACGATTGTCGCATCAAGCAGAAAACTTTTCTACAACCGGCAGTCGGGCACGCTACTCCCGCGACAGCACGCCGCCGCCTTCAAGTTCAATTTTACTGCCCAAGTATTAAGCCGCCCCCGGTCATCCGAAGGGCACATTACATTACGACATTGACAGGTTTGTTTCTCCCGTTCTCTATGCACGCACTCAACAACCGGCAGCGAAACCCCTGGGTCTTGCAAGGCAAACCCTCCACCCCAGCGCGATGAGTGCCCAACAAATCACAATCTCCAGTCTGGTTCGGCAAGAGACAGGGTTGGGGAGCTCAGCAACCGGAGGCATTTTTCTTTGATCGTCCCGTTCAGCTTGTTCCCGGTTCACCATCCCACATCGACTGATTGTGTATTATTCTCTTCCTCGCTTCCTTTTCCAATATCCCTCGGAAGGCCGTTCTCTTGGGTGCCTTGGGTGCGAACTGGGTCGTTTCGCCCCCGTCTAATCTCCTTTCCCACTAAACGCGCTTTCTCTGGCTTTCTTCCGCGTTCCCGTCTTCTATTCTATTTTTCT